TGTACTTTGAAAGAATACTTGATAAATTATTTAGACAGTTTCAACTGAGATTGGAAAAATCCCAGCCTGTCAGAAGCTAGGTTAAAAAAGGTTGGTGCTGTATAAATAATTTACTTCTTTGGGGAGGAAAAAAACATACAACTGCTATGTCTGGAGTAGAGAAGTGCTAAACCTGCTGAAGCTCACTATCCATACAGTAAATTTAAGCCAGCACTACAAACTGAGTGCTCTAATTTAAAAACAGAGGCTATGCCAAAGCTAAGTTATCAAAAGAAGGTTAATGTAAAGATTCTACAATTCAGTTCTTTCATATATTCACTCTTTTAACACCATGAGCATAGTCTAGTTAAAGAAAAAAAACAAACAAAAAGCCACAAAAAACAGGCTCTCTTTTCAGTGATTTCTCATAGCAACAGATTTGAATAATGTGAGCTTATCATAGCAGTGTTGGGTTTTTCTTAATTCATTAGTTTTATTTCTATAAAGCAGACACCCTCCAGCTTCACCATAACAATCCACCATTCGTAGCAGATAGTTCCCATTCTGGGTTGGAATTGCCTGACATTTCAAGAGAACCAGATCAAGCGTTTTGTTTGTTTTTACGTGGAGTAATTAATACTCGTGTTTATTACAGTATCTTTTAACACATATCACCATAGTGATTTTTATGTATGTATATATATGTGTTCTATTATAGGTTTTATTTCACTAAGTAGAAGTACAGAATTTGGGGACCTCAACGATCTTCCACTGTGACACACCAGCACTATGTGATACTGTGAGTAATGTCATTTGAGTACTATCAGCTCTACAGTGAGCACAGAAGCTGTCCCCACTGCCAGCATAGCTTTGCTGGCTGTCATGAGACAACGCTCCTTCCCAAAGACACCATTCCAAAGGAAGCTTTTGTCCCCGATTCCTCACTGTTTTCCTACAGAAACTGGGCTGACTCAGCAGCATAGGAAGGAAAAGGCCCTAAATGCCAAAATTACTTCTTACTTCTGGCCACTATAAAAGCCCTACAGTAAATAACAATCAGCCTGTCACTTAACTCTGTGTATGCTCAATGCACTCAGTGTATTGAATTATATCAATAAATGGAAATACTGTTCTGGCTGACATGTATCAGGACCATCTCGGATCTGTGGATAGCAAGAGAAAATAAATACTATAGATCTGGTAGGTGATTGATGGGTTAAAGCTCTGCAGATAGGAGGTTAGCTAGATCACAACACCTCCAAACTATTTGGTGTGTGCCCAAATATAAAACTGGAATCCACTTGTATGCTCCTGCACAGCCCGACTAGCTCACCAGGCACAGGATATTTGCGTCTCAAAGCTGCTGTGCAAAGTCTGTCTGGATACTTGCTGGTAGAATTATTATTAATTCCCTGTGCAAAGAAGATGTATTTAGATTTTCAAAGTATCACCATTCTGTGAGAACATGCCAGGGCAGCACACCCCAAAATTCAGGTGACCTGTGGGGGAGTCTGGGGGAAGCAGAGTCATGACTTTATTAATTCCTGAGAAACTTAACAGCATATGGCCCCCCAGCATGACAACATCTACTGCAGCATGACCATGACCCAATCATGTGTACCCCATAACTAGAAACATAACACTTCCTGTCTATCTTCAGTGCCCTCAGAATGCTTTTTTTAACCAATTCATGTAATTTCCTTCTGTAATACTGATGTGAAGGACTCCTTTGTTTTGACTTATTAGCCCCAATCACCTCTCAGCTCTGAGAGGCTCTAATGTAAAATGCCTTCTTGCACCTGTGGCTTTAGCCAAGGAGAGTGGCAAGTTCCCGCCCTTCTCAGCCTTTGCCCAGGGACCCCTCTGGCTGTTTCATGAACTCTGGGCTGGAGCCTCTGCTCCAGCCTCTTGTTATCCTTATTCTTGTCAGCTCTGAGGCCTTTGTTCAGCAAAGATGATTCTCACAGAAACAGGATGTGCGTGAAACACTGGATTCAATTTGGTATCTTTGCATTCCATATTAAGTCTCTTAAACTGCAAGAGCTTAATGAAGAGGGGATAATAAAAGAGTGTCCAGCTTTCTCCTTTGCATTTACAATGTGTATTTTACATAATTAGTGGTGAAAGTGTAGATAGGTGTTCCAGGTTGTCTAAAAGCACTATAGATGAAGAAAATGACCACTCTCAGTTTTAGTAGCAGTGTATTTCCATGGTAGGCATGACAAGAGCTTGTAAAGTCATATGGACTTTGTAGTAGGGAGTAAAGTGGGGAACAAGAGGGATTCCCTGTTAGGGCTATTTTTCAAATTAAAGTTCCAAATCCGGTGTCTACTATGGAATTCCCCCATTTTCAAAGAATAAGGTAAGCTAGTTCAAACTTGCTGCAAAAGGGAGTTAATATTTTGTATCCCTAATTTTAAAAAAACAACCACCAAGCTTCAGAAAAATCAAGCAATTCCTTAAGTATTTATTGTTGATCCCTTCCAAATGAGGCTTTATTCTATTGCCTGTCATAGATCAAGGAGTTTATCAAGGTTTTTATGCATTTATTTACTATTTTCCCAAATTTATCATTTGGAGCTTAACAAATGGAGAAAGGTAAATGGCACTAAATAATTATAATAAAAACTGAACAAAAAGAAATGGAGGATTAATTTCCTTGTTAAATTTGATGTCATCCCTTGCTTTCAGAATTAGCTGCCTAATCAACATTTCTTCTCTTCACATTTACTTACATGAGAGGAAAAATCACTAGTGGATAAATATGACAAAGGATTAAAAAAATCTATTTCAGTGTTATTTTGTCTCATATAGATTACTAGTCACTATATGGGAAAACACTGATATGGCAAAAGAAACAAAACTTTTAAGGCCTCTGTCCTTTTATTAAAGTCAATGCAAGCTGGAGAGCAGGGTGCCTGGGGAAGGGGTTCCAAGAAAGTCTGCAGATCCCTACCCCCTGGAGCATCCAACTGTACTACTGGGGTACGTCTGTGAAAACAACTGAGACTCAGCCACTAATATGAGATATGTGCCACTTTGGGTTAAATTCTCTGTGTAAAAAATTACATAATGGCACACATCAGGTGGGAAGTGTAATTTTTCAACCGGTACAATGTATTACCTCATGTTCTTATTTGCTTGGTTGTTGGCAGTAGGAGGTAAGGCACAGGAAGGAAATGGAAAGGAACTTTGTGGTATGTGTGTTTGCAGCCTGTTCCTACAAGGTGGCTCACACAGGGAGGGTGTCAGGAAGCATCATTTTATCTACACTGATGTAGCCCATCACTAGCCTGGCACAGCACTGCCTTCCAGGCATCCAACTGGGGTCTGCTTCAGTGCCAGTGCCCACAGATGCCAGGGACTGAAATGGAAACACAGGCACCACAGCTACCACTGTGGTTATTGGTAGCATAATCACAGGGGCTGACTTGGGGGAGGAGTATTTAAGCTGCATTTTGTTTCTATTCTTGCATGGCTGCATAACAATTACCCACTTCCATTGAATCTCTCCCCTCCTGCTCCTTGGCCGTGTCGCTACACAGGATGCAGCACCCAGGCACGCCTCGGCATTGTTTCTCGCCTGTTCTGCACGAGCGGTGCCAGGAGCCCTGTGTGGCCCAGCTGCCTCCAAGATGCCTGGGCAATGCTCCCCTGTTCCCCCTCCCCCAGTATCCATTTGCATCTCAATGCCAGAACTGGGCCGATGAGCTGGGCTCCTTGCACTCACACCAGAGCAATAATTGATTTCAGGCCTGAGTAAGTCCATTGAGCTCAGCTGAGTTTCTCCAGATTTACAATCCCGTAACCAAGAGCATTTTGTGACGTCTGTGTAAGATGGAACATTATTATTAACTATTTGTCCCTTTGCAGTCATGAAGAGCCAAGGACACACTACTGTGTCATATGCTAAAACATAAAATGCCAGTGAAGGAAGGAAGAATTAAAGTTCAAATCTTTTACAATTCCAAGGCAAAGTTGAATGTTATTTAGGTAGAGATGGATCTCACTAATGTAGACCTAAACTTTCATGCTCATGATTTCAAGATATATTTTCCATCAAGTTCAAAAAAATGAGTTATCGAAATACTCACTTTTCTCTCTGTCACCGAACTTTTTGCTTTCACAGTAACGCTTTTCTAATCATTCACTGATCGATGTTTTATCTCCTGCTGCAAAAATAATAATAAAAAAAAATCTGAATTCCTTGAAATTTGAGGTAAAACCAAAATTTTAGAGTTCCTCCATGAAAGAAAGATGCAGTCCCTGCATGCTGACCCAGGCTTATCCTTTCTATGGCAGTAGGTAGGTCTGTCCTGTCCAGAACTTTTCCAGTTCCTTTTTTGCATTGCCTTCAACAGCCTTCAACCACCACTGTACAGAAGAGATCCCCAGGTCTTCCTGAGAAAGGTACTCCACATCCACCTGAAACTCCAGACCTTGTTATGTTATTACTTGCCAGTATGGAAAGCAGCAGGGAGGATATCAGAAAACCTAAATCTGTTATTGCTTTGGAAAGACTGACTGTAGTAAGCCCACTTTAGCACCAGTGACATAGTAAGATCCAGCATCTTCAGCCTTCCACCAGGGAAAGAAGCGAAGTCCTGCATCGGACCAGTCTAGTCCCAGCTGTTGAGAACACCTGAAATAGAAGATGGGCAGATGAACCACACCAAATTGCTTGTCTGCTGGCCAACACACAGGCTGCTTCCCTTTTGCAGTTTGTCTGTCAGCTTTTCAGATTTCTGTTCTCTGTCATTATTCACTTCTGTGACAACCTCTTCTACAGATGCTGGCAAATGACAAACATGGCTAGGAAAAACAATGTGAAACATTCTTAGATTACATATGTGTAGCTGCATAATGACTAAGAAGAAAACAAATTTCTTGGCAGAGTGGATTTAAAGAAAGTCCTACAAAGTTAAAGCCAGTTCTACAAACTTCTGTCTTTCTTCTGCCTTTCACTTGCTTTCTTCCTGTATTAATTCTTTTATTTTTTTTACTTTCCCATAGAGCAGCAAGGTCAAGACAGTGAGCCCAGCTCTCTACATACTGGCTACTAGCTGAGGCCGAGCCTTTGATGTTGGGAGCAGGAAGACTTCTTAAGGTACCAAGGTTTTTTTTGCTAGTAAATAAATAGAGATGATCCATGCTTTTCAAAGAATGGGCATTTTCCACACTGTCAATGGTTCTTTCTAGTTGACTGAAATATAAGTCAGACAACACTTGAGAAGAATTAACTTCCTAAAATTCTCATTGTCCCTGCAAGGTGCTTTGGTCCAAATAGACTTTTAGATTCCTGGCTTTGTTCAGTTTTAAGATGCTACTCATTTTAGTGCATCTTCTTTTGAAAATCCCAGAATAAAAAGGAATGTTGCAACTGCACAAGTCAAAGCTGCTTGAAGAAAATGTATTGTAGAATTATCTCTGTGTTCTTTTTATACTATAAAAGTGCTGACATCACTTTGATGTGGAAAGGAACAGTAATCTGAGGGGCTGCTATGAAAGGAATGACATGCTTTAAGCTGGAACTATACAGAGAAACACACAGAGTAATGACAAGTTCACATAACACCTAATTTGATTCTTTCTTTGCACCACAGTGAATCATTAAACCACAGACACCTGCTAATGAGCAGGGAGGCTTCTGAGCAAAGATCACCTTTCCCCCACATTTTGTCCAATGCACTCGACCCCAGTTATAAAACCAGCCATTATCACCTTTTCTTCCACAACATTTTGTCTTTGGTGAGTTTACTGCCACATAGAAATCAAATCAAGAAAGCAGAAAAATTAGTTCCTGCTTTCACAATTGAAATTATTTCTAATTTTTAAGAAGAAATTACTTCTATAGATGTGGAAATTAGTTATAAATACTCCTTAAAAAAAAAAAAAAGATACCTCCTCCTCCCTGCCCCCTACTCCAACTCCAATTAAATAACAAATGCAAAGCTGGAATACTGAAGTTTCAAGCAGGAGTAACACTTTCATTCATGCTTGCAGATCTATGCTCCATCAGCAAGTGACTTGCTGTGTAGTATCACATTTTGGTATTGCCAATTTACGCTGGGAAATGTTGACTACAATTGGTGGGGGCAAGGAACTTCAAGAGCATCAGAACTACTTCCTATACAGGGAAATGTCATACTCATCCATACACCTATTTAAGTTTCACATTTTACAGGGTCAAGGCTTGAAAGAACAGACTTCCAGATTAAGGCAAATGCTGAATTTTGAATGCTAGAAGAGAAATGCATCAATTTATTTTTATATCTGTGAATGTTAGATAGCGAAATATTTCCTAAAGTTCAGAAATTTTTCAGATTATTGATCAGAACAAAATAAATCCACTGAGTTGCAAATAATGCCCTGAATGCCTAGTGAAAAGCCATGATGGTCGGCTGTACCACAACTTCCCTGTGCTTATATTAAGCATAAATCACAAGCAACTCACTCCAAAGTATCTGTGGCTATCATAAGGCACCTAAAAACTAAGAGTATTTGCTTAATTGTCCCAGACTACAGTTTATTCTTCCACTCCTGAGGTATATGCTGTGATGCAAACAGACTGGAAAAACTAGATACATGGTGTCAAAGCTATAAAGATTTATAAAATAAGAGAATAGGTCTTTATATAAATTTATTTAAGAGGTCAGTATAGCCTTTAAAATATGTTTACCTTTATGCATTTGACAGATAAATTACAGCACACTTCTCTTATTATTAGAATTATTGTAATTCTAATACAAGAAGGAATAATTAAGTTTTTAACTCAGTGAGATTACAAAATGGACACACTCTGTGACCTAAAATGAGTTTAGAATTTCCATGTAAAAATATTTAGTGAATATGTAACGAAGCTGGGGGAAGCTGCAGGATCTAAACATCTCTTATGCAGAGAACAAAGCTACATGCCACAGAGTTAAGCTTAATTCTGCTGGTACTCCCATGACTGAGAGAATAGTTCTATTCTTTGGGACTTGGGAATACCTAAGAATGCTATGATTTATTTCTTCTGTGTGTGTTCTGTAATACTTCCTCTTTCTCATACTCGTCTCCATTCAGACAGAAATAACCACATCCTTGAACATCATCTAGTTTACTGATTCCTGCTTTGGCACAGATCTTATCACATCACAAGCCTTTTACATTTATTTACCAGTCAGAAAAGATCTTCCCATTGTCCAAGTAGAGTTCAAAGTGCTAGGTTCCACTTCTAAATCTCTGAGGGACCTAAGACCTGGCTGGAAATGGTCTGTTGAGATACACCTGAGAAAACTAGATCACTCTGCTAAAGAGAGATATTAACAGGCTACTGGGGAGACCATGCCTACTATTTAAACTTCCTGTTTCTTTGGTAGATGAAGTCCTGAGCTGTTCCTGTGACAGGTTATTGAAAATTATTTAAAGTAATTATTTGCTTATTTATGTTGTGTAATTTCATTTACGAATTTCAACTTTTGGCCAGCCCATGCAATGGGATGGAGAGAAAACCAACAAACTACCTGAAATTCTGTTTGTAGTAGATGTTTCCCGGGGTTAGACAATCTTAGGGCACCAGGATGGTGTAAGAAATGTTGGAGAGGAACGAATTTTGTTTGTGGAGGAGGCAGCTCTCTTGAACCAGCAGAGTAAGAGAGTAAGCAAAGCTGGAGGGTCACCAGCTCAACAGGTGGCAGAGGGCCCTGCTGAAACCAGAAGGTACACACTCCCAGTTCCTCTGGGTGGATGTGAAATAGCCCATGTTGCTAAACATCACAGCAGACTGCAAAGCTCATCTGTTAGAGATTGGTATCTGGGACTGACAGGGAGACTGTCTGCCAGGACAGTGAGGTCTTCCTTTCTGTTTCATGAATTTGTCATTTCTGTATGGGGTAACTGCTGTGTAAGGTAAAGCTCTTACCTTTCATTTTAAATTCTTTTGAAAAAGTTTTCATCAGCGTGGAGCTTGTTGATAGGAATCTTTTTATTGCTTTCCTTTCCAGGTAGGTCTGTTACCCCAGAAGACCCAGTACTATGGAGAAATGAAGGGCCATGCCCAGTTCTCCTGGCTGTTCCTGCCACAAACTCAACTTCAGCCTGTCACTCACCATTCTCAGTCCCTTCTTCTTTCTCTGACACTACCAGCAATAAGCTAATCAGAGCTGAATGTTCAGTGCCCATGCACAAACTGGGAGCATCACTCTGATATACACCCTTTTACTTAACCATAAAAACTGATATTTTTCTGTAGATAGTTACATTAATATATTATCAAGCAATCAGATTAGACTGAGTATCATCTTTTCCAGGAAGATCTGCAGTCCAAATTGTCCTGTCTGTGGACAGGATAGTGGATAATCTGCAGGCAGCTTTGGATTATAATTAAATACACTTACAAAACTAGTTTGCAGACTGAAGCCAGTAACTGATTCTTTGCAAAACCCAATCTCTCTTTGCTTTCTTTTATGACTCTTCTGCTCTGTGGTGTTAATAGTATATTAAAGTCAATTCTACACTGAATGCAAAGATTAATGAAGGGATTTTTTTTTCCCCCAAGTGGTATCCTTTCCTGTTTTCAAGCCCTCTTCTCTCTTACACTCCCCTTCATGCTCTCTCTGAATGTAAAGGTTAATTGATAGAGAAACTTTCATTTTTTACTTTATAAATTTTGCTTTAATAGATTCCTTCTTTGAGGATGACGAATTCACGAGGTGCTATGATGATTCCTCAGATTTCCAGCAGTCATGATGCTGTCAGTCAAATGCTGTGTTTAATGTGGAAAACGTAGAGATGATTCTTAACACTTAAGAAATTTTATTTGCCAAAAAATTTTATCACTTCAGATTATCATAAAAATCTGCCTTTCTGAGATCTAGAGGCTGTTCCTGCTTATTTTCATGTATATTTCATGTACTTTAGGAAAATGCCTAATAGGTTCGGTGTTTGCATTTTTACAACTCTGCTGTAACTAAAGCTGTTCCTTGTTTAGTCTCTCTTTGTTCTTCTTCACTTCGTGCCATCTTTCTTCCTCTGTTTATGTACACACGCAAACAAACAAACAGACAGTGCTCCCCACGGGCTCCTGGACCACTGCCAGCTGTCCTGATGTCAACCAGCAAACGACAGAACCAGCCCTGCCCTTTTCACTAAGAAGTAATGGTTGCTCTGCACGGTGCATCCTCCCTTTCTTCAGAGGGCCAGCAAAGATGTCCTCTGCAGGCAGAGGTCTCCAAACTGGAACCATTGGAAGTCATTTAGTTAACTTTCTATCATTTGGTATAAAGTAAAAAAAACAAAACACAAACCAAAACCAGTCTTACAACTGCCCCTGAAAGCAACACTTCTGGTTGCAATGCTTGGCAGGATTTTTATGTTCAGAGATTAATATACTCATGAATAGCTGACTTAATTTTCTTAAACTGCCCCTTCCTGAACAAAAGCTCTTGGGGGCACTGTTTCATTATGAAAAGAAGGGAGAAAAGCTGAGAAGAACAAGATGCTTCTGTTCTCAGAATTTAATTTCCCACAATGATACACAGTGATACTACAGAGAATGGCACACTAGTGATGGAACTACTATTAGTAAATTTTGGAGCTATGAAAACTCCCCAGTGCCATAAATTAATAACTACATTCAAGGTAATTCACCACTGGACCAGAGAAGCAGTGTAACAGTATATTAGGGAACTTACACAAGAATTTCCAGAAGTAACAGTTCATTGTAGGTATAGGTAGGATGTGGGGAAAAAAATCCATATTGTTGCTAACAACTCGTATGGTAGAAACATAACAAAAGATATTGGATTAGGTAGGGAAAAAATAGGAAAAACATTTTAATTCCTAGAGAATCTTTGTCTGAAAGATGAAATTCTAAAAATAATTAATTAACAAGATACTATTTTCCCAAATAATTCTTATACAAGCAAATTACCTATGATCCAATGCTTGGAAAAAAAAACCTCAGCAAAATCCCTCTAATCCTTACTTAAGTAAACTGTCAGGAATATATACCAGAAAAAAAAAAATCAGGTTTTCAGGAAGTATTCATATAAAAAATTCATATACAAAGAAAAAAACAGACTATCCTCAAATATTAAGATTATATCAGGTGAGATTTTTTAATTTACTTCCATAAAGTAAACCCAGTTTAAAGGTAAGTAATCCAAATAACAGTCAAGGAACATGTTTTTGTAAATCTTAGTTACTTTACATTCTTTTGACCTGTGATCTAGGACTACTGCATCTTAAAGGTTCTGAATCAGGTGAGTATCGGTGCTTATTTTCATCTGTGTTAGTTGAGGAGGCTGCCTGTCCTTGCTTTAACCTACTTTCTGTGCTAAAGCCGTTTTGCCTCATAAGTCCCACGGAGATTTGAGAGGCAAAGCCAGTTTATTTCTATAGTGATCCTACTTTGTTCAGAAATATTGCCAAAGGCTTATTTGGAAACCCTTCTCATAGGAAATAGGAACATTTGGTACTTTGCAAAGACTGTGAGGACTCCACTTAAAATAGAAGGTGCAGTTAGCAACTGTAAGAGGAGTGTACTGACTCCCTTCAAATATAACATCTGAGGAGAAAGCTCATTGAAAACAACAAAAAATATTAATATTTATCAGGTATTAAAACATGGTGTGAGACTGTAAGCACTGATGTAACCACTGGTTAATTGCTTGATAGTTACTATACATGACATTTTCTGGTGTGGACTTTACCACACAATCTGTAAGAAAACATTAAAGACAATTACTATTCCTGAATGTACTTTCACGCTGCATTTAATGACTTAAAATGTAGAAGTCTTTTCAACATAATCAAAAAGGATGGAATAGGCACAATTACATATTTGGAAAAAAAAATCTCAATATTTTTCAAATTTGTAAAACAATCTCTTTTTTTTTTTTTAAATTTGTAAAAAATTGAAATGTGTGTTGTTATGCTGGAACACCGCCCGTGCAGCAGGATGCAGATAGAGGATGCCACCTGTATCTGGACAGGTTTTCTTTTGCACTTTTCATGATCACTTTGTGCCTTCACAGAGAACAGTGTAATTATTTTATGTGATCCTCCCCTCAGTGGGGATCAAATCTATCTGTCCAGAAGCCCCGCCGGGAAGAAGGCCATTTTTGGCAGTGTTCAACTTCCTTCATGGTGTCCCCAGAAATTTTGTAAAATAAATCCTTTACCACTAATAGGACAACAAAGACATATAACTGTTTCTTTAGCTGAGCAGCTGAATTTCCTACCCTGGGTAGTTGGGCAGAACCGTGCACAGCCATGGTGGTACAGAGATGAAACAGTGCTTGGGATTAAAATTTAACCTTGCAGGGGAAAATAAGAAATCTCTTTCTTCAGTGCAGTGGGATTCTGCTCTTCAGATCACCCATGTCATCATACAGTCTGTTTCTATTTAGACCATACAGCAAGTCTGTTCTACTATTCTTATTAATAGTTTTTTATTTATCTATTTATCCTCTATAGAGGAGGTCTTAATCAACACAATAGTGCAATTAATTTGGCAATACTCTACTAGCTGTATCCTGGTGTTTGCACATCTTCTGATCTGCAGACCATAATGATAACTAAATCAGCAAATAACAATAATCTTGCTCCTAAAGTTGCAATATCACAGCCCTTTGGAGAAATACAGCCATATGCCATAGGAAAAACAGTGCCCATTTTTAGCACAAGCAACACCAAGATACAAATCACATCACACAGAGTCAGAGTTAATTAAGTCAGGCACCTACTGTTTGCCTGCAGTTTGCAATAGCTATTAATTTGAAGCTCTGCTGTAGTGCTAAGAAGAGAAAATTAACTAATGTAGCACTGTGACATGACGACCACACTCCTGAAGGGACTTGTTACAGTGACTTCTTCTGGATAACACTGCTCTCAGTAAAATTTTAGACAATACACCACAGTAATTTATGGGGGGAAATTGTTAACTGGTCTTATATCTGTCTCTGGGTAAAGTGAAAGAGATCAAGAGCTCTTACCATTGATTATACAGTATGCAAACCCACACAACAACTGGTAAAGCTATCAAAGCAGTGCCAACATTTTGGCATTTGTTTTCATTATTTTGAATCAGTAATTCTGCCAATTTCTATGAATTATTTTTAATATATTTATTTTTAAACATGATAGAAACTCTGTATTTTGTATAAAATCATATTGACTTACATGCATGCTGCCACTGTCACAATTTATTAATTTTATCTGTTTAGTGCTTGTCTATTATTGACTGCAATACTTTCTTTTCCAGACTGAAGGGCTAACTCTTCCATTACACACCACTAGAAGACTCTTCAATCTAGGAAAAAAAAAAAAACAAAAAAGATACAGTCTTCTGGGTAGAGCTAAGGAACAACTTCTATTAAATGAAATAGGATTAAAAATATTAAAATGAGAGACAGGAGACATCATCCAGGCTCTGTGAGGATTTAGACCAGCTACATTCACAAGTCAGGTAGGATCCTTGGATCACTTTCACCCTGCAGACTAATGTTCATCTCACATAGTGAAGAGATGCTCTTTAATAGAACTAAAACCTGTTGCTTCCAACAAAAGAATATTGGCAACACATTTTGTACAAAATCTAATATTACTGTAACACTAGTTGGAATGTTATAGAGGAATTATATATGTAAATACAAATATGCTCAAGTTTAGAACTTAATTGTTACTTTTATTGTTACTACATTCTTCTGCTTTTATTGTTTCAAGTATGTTACTGTTCTATATAACAAAGCTCTCAGTGAAACACTTCAGGAGGTCTTCCCAGTGTTGTTACTGTGTTTAAACTCTGGAAAAGGTTTTCAATCAACCTTCTGAATTTTTAAATTTATTGGGATTAACTCACACAGCTGGATATGCTGCAAGATCCAGGAGGTCCAAGAGGTGCTCAATGTCCTCCCAAGATCTAGATGTCCTGTCATGACATCAGCATCAGAGGAATTATCAAGAAAATGGAGAAACTCAGAAGTAAAGAATACACAGATTTTTTAACTAATATAAGGTAACCTATGTACAGTCAGGTCCTCTCCAGTACATTATGATATACCATCCACCCACTGTGTATTTATGCTTTAATGTCACATGAGATTCATTGGAAGCAGTCAATAGCTCCAGTCAGGCAGCACCTTTCCCTCTGCATTGCTGAAGAGATGAAAGATGAACACAACATCCCAATGTCCACTCAGTAGCTGAGAAGCAGTCACTCTAACTTGTCCTTTAGTTAAAGGCTTAAGTGACTGCTTCTGCTCGATGACATAATCATAAAAATGCAGGAGAAAAATGACAGAAGGAATAGGACACTAGACTATATTTTTTTCTTTAACTATTGTGAAAGATAAACTATGGGAAGAGCACATTTTCCATTTCTAGCTTGGAAAAGCAACATTGAAGAATGGTCTAACCACCTAGCCACATTTTTAGAAGCTTGTATCAATTTATTCATTGGTTCTTGATACAAGACAAAATTTAGATGTTTAGTTTCCAGTATGGACAGAATATTCCCGTTTTTGATATCTTTACAGTCACGTTCTTTTTTCTATTTAAAGAGTAAAATAGTAGAAAAATTATATATCAAGATTTCAGTAAGAGAAGGGTTACATCACATAAGATTTGCATGCTTAGCAAAGGACATGGGCACAACCCCCAAACCACTAACCCATGCATTATTTTTCTGGGCACAAACACACCTAATAGCACTGAACGTCCTGATCCCACTACAGGGCTCTACTGTCCCAGCTCTGCAGAACAGCAGAGATATTTTTTTCTTTAGAGGTCAGGAGATATAAAAATACTTCATAGAGGCAAAAAAAATCAGTACAAAGGAACAAAAACATAATTGAAAGGGTTTTGTTTGCTAAAAAGGGATTTTAATTGCTAAACAAACTAAAGCTGCCAAATGATGACACAACTCATGGTAAAGCCTTGAAATTTTAAACATGTATTCTGACTTCAGGGGGCTGGCTGTAAAGTGACACCTTGGTTTGATGAACTCAGCTCTGTGAGAAAGAACTGGCATTCTTCTGCACTGTGTATGGACAAAGTGACACCACAGGCATGAAAACACCAGTTCACACAGACCAGAGTGATCTGTACCTGCAGCGCTACCTCTGGCTTCAGTCCACATCACCGAGCAGGAACGGCTTCAGGCTTCAAAAGACCAACCAAAAATCATTAAGAACATTAATGAGCAAAACCTCATAGTAAAAATATATTACTCTTTTATGCCAATCTGCATTCACTGTGCCTTCTTTTTCTGAATAATATGCTTAGTCTGTATATTACTTTAATGGTTGAAGGCACCTGAAGGGATGGGAATAGTCTCCAGTCCCAGAAGCTGATCAGAGAACAGCATTACCACTAAATTGAAAGAAGGGAGATGTTAGCACACAGACTAGGAACCTGCTTTAAAAAGTAGCTGAGCAGATTTTTTTTACAATTATGAGAAGCAGCTGAGAGACTGTCATTAAAAATAATAGAAAACATATGTGATGCGTTCTCACACAGTGGAAATTGTGTGGAAGTTCCACATATGATCATCCCTTCCCACTGAGCTCAGGGGCACAGCTTTGCTTTGACGAGGTTTCAAAACAAACTAAGAGTCTGCTGGTGCTTCCTTGAGAAAAATAAAATTTGTGATGAAGTGTCATGAATGCCACCCATCTGAGGTACCAACAAGAGAGATTTCTCAGTATTGTAAATCCATGATCTTCTAGCAATTATTAAAACTATAATGGTGAGGAGACTTCCCAGCACAGATATTAGATCCCTCTGAAAAAGTGGTGTTTATACGTGATGTAAGAGCATTCTTTCTTTCCCTCATGTTGCTTCTTAACATGCTGTAGCAGAGATTACTTCTGCCACAACAAAGGGTAGCAGAAGGGATTGCGTGGCAACATCCCACTCTGCTACCAAACAAGTTTAGCTTTGTTGTCTCCAGCTACCTTTGTTGACTAAGCTCAGCTCACTCATCTGACCTTAAACTAAAACCACAGAGGATGCAATTTCTTGTCTCAGCTGAGGTGTGCAGTAATATCCCACAGCTGGCACGTGGCAACAGCTATCTGGAAATACAGTTTGAGCCTTGCACAAAATTTTAGGTCTACAGTATGCTAAAGGTCACACTGATTACCTTGCATGGGAATTAGCAGTGTTTAAATTCCTTACTGCTAATAAAGCAGGCACGGAAACCAGTCTCCAATCCATCATTCTGCAATTAATTAATAAAGCAATATTAACTGCAAAGAATCAGCTACCAGAATAAGGTATTAGAGCAGCTATGGTTGCTTTTTCCAGCAGTATTAGGTACTTCAAGTGAGCTTCTACATACAAACCTTTTTTGCTCACTTGTGGAAGACTGGGAGTTGGTAGAGCTACAGATGCTTATGCCAGGAGAGGCACCAGCCCAGGGAGTGCAGCATGTGGATGATTTTTAACTTGTATCATTTCAAGCACAATGACAAAAACTGCCATGGGAAAACAACGTGACTAAAACTATGTTTCCTGTGGCTTATTAATGGAGTATTCATGCTCAACATTAATCTGATGAATATGAATTTCTAGGACACATTATCCTTTCTCCCTTTGTGCAGGTTTCAAATATTATGATTGTTTGGTTTAATTACTATTAGTCTCAGTTGAATTGTCACTGCTTTCAGCATTTTCAGTGTGTAGAAATTTATATTTGAAATTCGCCTTATCTGAAGGCAAACTTCTCATGTTGATTTAATTTTGTATGAATTGGGTGTTATTATATTTTAAGGTCTGATCTATCACCATGCTTACTTAAGAAGAGGAGAAACATACTCTGTTGATTATTGCTGTCTTAAACACATATAAAGCCACTTGACATGAATTAATTCTTGTGTGGCTTTGTCTTTGGATTTTTTTTCCAGACTCCATAGTCATGTTCCATTCCAATTGTAAGAATTTACTTCAGACTGAGGTAGAGATAAGAGATCCGAACCATCTCTTACACTAACAGAGTCGCTGCATGGCTCCTGTGGGGTTATTAGGATTGCTACAGTTAGATGCTTCATCCACCATAGCCAGAGATCTGAGTGCTTTCCAGGCAATTAAGGAGGCCCACATGCTGAGCAAGAAGCTGTGGAAGACACATCAAGCAAAAGGATGCACCTGAATTCTTCCTACTCTCTAGAAGTCAGAAACCACAGTCACAGTTGTACTTCAGACTCTCTACATTTGGGATCTTGAGTACAGTAGATTCAAAAAGGTTCATCTGGAGTACTCAACCTGCACTGCAACCTACTCCCTTAAAGCATTCCTTCAGGAACTGAAGGCATTGTCTTTTCACCCACACAGAATTAACACTTGCATCTCTTAAAGCATTTTGCCAAACCACAAGACTAGACCCACTATAAAACTGAAGGTATTCTCCCTTCAACCTGATGAGGAATAAAATCCATCACCACTGCAGAAAAGGAACTGCAAGATGAGAAGAACAGAGAAGAAAGGAACAGAAGGGAGCTTCACTCCATAATCCAATAGTAAAAGCATTAACTTAGAAGAAAAGGGAAACCTCACTTCACTGCTCCTATTCAGTATTACACTGCCCTTTTCCTTTTCTTGTTCAATGAATCCCACTTTTCCAGACGCTCATCCACTTTCCACATTTAAGAAGAGGACTGAAGAGTGCAATTTATGTCACCCCATGTTATTCAGCTGCTTTCAAAACAGTTATGCTTCTCAGAGGTTCTCAGTTATCTTCTGGTGAAGGCATCTTGAAACAGACCTTTTTATTTCCCATCCCTGTCCTCAGGCTCCCTCGGAGGGGAAAGTTCAGGTCTCCATATCCTCTTTGTCCCAGGGCATTTGGAGGGACAGCCTGAGTGATGGTACGTGCGCCATCAGCCACAGGATGTCTTTCTCAGAAGATGCCGCTGCCACATTGGTGCCATATGCCTTTTTATTTCATGACACCTGTTTACACAGTGTGAGTCAGGAAAAAGATTACTTTCACAGCAGAATGGGAAATCACAGAGCATTCACAGACAGGCAGTGGGTTCAGGGAATATCTATCTATCTGTAACATCTATCATTTTGTCAGAATCTGTACAACTGTCCTGATACATGCTGGTTTCAGTGTTCTGTGTAAGTGCCACAGTTGCAAATCATTTTGAAAGCCAAAGAAATCAAATTCTGTAGCTAAAAATTAGTTGTAAGCAGAAAACAAGCATGTGCTTTTTCTGATTACTATCACTTAACGTATCCTATCCATGTGTTGGTTTTGAGTAGGGATTTCTTGCTTTATTGATTATATTTCTTAGTATTGCAAAGTAAGTAAGAGAGTTGACTTTTATGACTTTGTAAGTAAAAATAACTCTTATCTCTCAAGTGCAGAATATTTATATCTGTTATGAAACACAATGTTATGACAGCATTGCTGGCCTTTGGAAACATCTGAGAAAAGGTTTATACTCATTTTGTTAATGTTTCAAGTGCTGAAAAGACTGGTAGATTAGTTCAAACCGAAGTGGTTCTGAATTAAAGTGCTACATATAATGTGCAGTGATCTCAGTCATGGGCTGATGCTCCCTTTCTCTTACTCTTTTGTGAGATCATAGTTGTGGACAGAATAGCAGGACGGTCAGATTGAATCTTGGTGACTATCTACGGCTGCACCAGATAAACCAGATCTGTCCAACCGTGAATGTGCCCTCCTCACTGTGTTGTGATTTGAGCATGTAATAATTGTTGCAATGAAAGCAGTGCTACAGGTGTGCTACATGGTATGACAAAACAGAAGTACCATTATGTTGAGTAGAGAATAAATAAGTTGATTTAAAAACCTACAGAAAGAAAGAAAGAAAAAATCGGTATCGTTTTCCAACCTTGAGAAAAGTTTCACTCAATTATGACTGAAAAGGGAAATTGTTGGTAGCATTTTCCCAGAATGGTTCCTACCTCCTTGCCATCTTCTGCCCCTCAACAAATACTGTGGCCCACTACATATGGAGGCACAGGAATCTGCACATAGACACAGGTGGGCGCAGCACAGCAGCACTGCCGCACGGCGCTATTACAAATATCCCTGCAGGAACCATCTGGCTCACGGATGAGTTAATGCCTTCCTGACCCTGATCTGCTGTGTCCTATAAAAGTTTATTTTCATTTTCATTTCCACTTATCTCACAAGAATCGAAAATGAACCAAAGGCACTTTAAGACCTTACATAGCATTTTTCTTTTTTTTTTTCCCCCTCCCAATGCATTTAATTACTTTCCAAAATCCAAACAAGTTTATGTTTATAAGCAACAGGCCCTCTGTTCGTGTGGATTTGTGGTGCTGAATTACTTCAAACTTTCACAGGACAAAAAAAAACCCAAACAAAACAACCCTCTAATACAGAGGTTCCCTACGAGCATTGTAACACTCAACATGGTATCTAGTGCATTGTGTTTCTCCTGGAACATATTTCAAGCACTGTTTAACCCGCAGTACACGTGTAAGTGACAGAAGTGTGTGCTACAGCTGCTACTCAAGGAGCAGGAGTACCCAATTCACTCAGCGAATTCACTACGTTTTACAGGGATGCTTTGGGCAGGTTTCCATCCTTAAGAGACGCCAGCTGACTGTTTCTTTGCTATTATATGTATGTCTGACAGGAACCTTGTACACTTGGCAACAACGGGGTGTTTTTTCCCGGACCCTTCATCCAAGGAGCAGCTGGCACTAGGGAAATGGGGGCACACTGAAGGGAGCACAGCCCGCGCTATAGAGGCACTCACTGCGGTGAGTCACTCAGGATCACAGACCATGCCAGGCTGGAAGGGACTCACAAAGATCACCGAGTCCCACCCAGCCCTGCGTGGGACCATGCCCAGGAGTCACACCGTGTGCCTGACACCATTGTCCAAACGCTCCTTGGACTCTTCTTGGGATTGGAGGGCGGTAACCAGTTCCCTGAGGAGCCGCTCTGCCGGCCTAGCTTCTGCTTTATTTATTTATTTATTCATGTGTTTGTTTGTTTTCAGACACCAGACCGAGGTCTCCGCTCACGCGCGCGCGCCGCGCTCCCGCACCCGCAAGATGGCGACGGAGGTGGGCGGGGCTGGTCGCGTGCGCGCGGGGGCGGGGCGGGGCCACCGGCCGGGCCCGCGCGCTCAGCGCGCGCTGCCGGAAGTGACGCGGTTGGTGGCCGTGCGGAGCCGGAGGTGCGGGAGCGGGGCCCGGGCCGTGCGGGGGCTGCGGGGGCTGCGGTGTGCGGGCTGTGCGGGAGCAGCGGCTGTGCGCGGGTCGGCCCTCACCGCCTTCCCGTGGGACTAGGGGGAGCCCCCGGGCGCCGCCCGGCCAGGTGCGCCGCGGTTCGGGTGGTCGCGGCCTCCCTCGCCGTGCGGGCGCTCCGCGGCGGGCGAAGGCCGCGGGCGGGGCGGGGGTACCGGGGCCGGGAGCCGGGCGGCGGGGTCGGTGGCAGGGCCTGGCCGGTGGGTCGCGGGCCCGGCTGTGGCCGTGAGCTCCCAGTGCTGCTCCGCAGCCGCTCTCCTGCCCCAGGGCCTGTGGGACCGCCAGAAAACGGAGCAGGCTGGGGTCGGGGGTCTGCTTGTTTTGTTTTAAGGAGCTGTATAAGCATGGCCATAAAGAACAAAATAAAAAGTGCAGATTCCGGCACCGTGTGCAGTCGAAAGGTTTTTGATTGTCTCATATGTGTTATAGGGGAAATGTTCTTCATATGCTGAATTCCAGCTTGGGTTGTCTCGTTGCTGCACCTTCAGAACTTCATAAAAAAGCAGGAAGTCAAGATGAAGAGCAGGGTGACACAAGTAAATGTAAGTGTTCTTCAACCTGAACTGTAGGGTTTGATTATTCCCATGTTACTGGTAATTAGGTCTGTAGTTGATGTTATGTTACATTAAACTTCCTGAATGCAAATCAAGCAATGGCTGTAATTGACAGTAGCTGTTTACGAGAGAAATGCTACGAGTAAGTTGTAACAACTACTGTAAGAGTCAGTAAATTACAGCTGTTTCTAGCACCTGTTGTCCTAACACTGAAAGTCCTGAATATTATTGGGATATAATGAAAAAGTAATTGGTCAAAAGTGACTAAATGATGATGGCTCAACAGAGAATGTAGGCATGTGGAGGAATGGAAAAAGATTAACAATGATCTTAGAAAGAAAAGATAAAGCGACAGTAAGGAGCAGTTAATTTGGCAACTTTATGTCATCTTGTGAATGCTGAAGCTTTTCATTTTAAAAGCTATATGGTCCATTTCTGAATGGATAGGAATGATTTTTTCAGGAATGCAAGAAGAAAAAATTTATTTTAAAGTTAATTTTTTAAGATTATCATTTAGAAATGTTATGTTTGTATAGTACACTACATTTGGGACAGGTTAGCAGAGCAAGGCTGTTCTGATACACTGCCTCAAATCTGTGGTATTTCTCTGCCTGTGTTTCTAAAGTTTGACCTTGCACAGGCTTCCTTTTGGATCCAACTTTTCTGACTGAAGCAACTTTTACTAGGAATGCTTCTGCTATTTTCCCAATTTGGTGGTTGTGATAGTGCTTCCTCATCTGTTAAAATAAGCCAGTTAGCAAGAGTTTTGGACTGTTCAAACACTTTCAGTTTTGATCAAAATGGACAAGGAAGAAGGCTAATTTTTGGCAGAAAGGCTGGTCATGAAGAGCTGAGGGGAACAAGTTCTTTTGCAAAGAGCTGCTTTGGCAAGGAGATGTGATAAGGCCAAATACGGAGACAGACATTATATTGCTTTATTTCTGTGAACACTTGTGGTTTTGATTCTGCTTGGGCAAAGACAGATGATGTATGGATGTATGGATGAGAATGGATCATCCTAAAAAGACCCAGTGCTTCTTTTCCATCTGCTAAATAGGATTTAAATACAGTAAATGTTTTGGGTTTTTGAAGATTTTTATTACCACTTTCTTGGAAGCTTAAGATATAGAGTTGCAGTACATTATTGGGCAGGGAAAAAAACCCAGTTTAAGCGGTTTTTTTAACTTTGAATTCAGTCATCTGCTCTATGGTATAAACCCATAAATGAGTATTGAAAGGGGAAAGAAACCTGGTAAAAAATATGTGAATTTCTTGTACTACCTTTGCCATCAAAGGTTAGGTTGCCCTAAAATTAAATTGTCAGATGGACTTACTTTTATAGGGATGCCTGCTCCCAATAAATAACACAATGCATTGAGTTTGTATCATTGTCTTGATGCAGGCAAGATAATACTGGGTATAATTTTAATACAGCGTTAGAAATGTACCCTCAGAAAGGAAATATTCTGATATGTTACAGTGACCTCAAAAATGCAATTGTTTATTTGTATATATACACACACTCCCCAGTTAAATTTTGGAGATCATTGGTATGACAGTCCACCCTGGTCTGGGGTGACCTCCACCACCTGGTTTATGGAGGAGGTGTCATTGTATTCTAGTAACCAGCAGTTTTAACTGGTTCTCTGGTGGGTCAAAAACTAGTGTTGCCAGCATGTTGGTGGAGAGGGTGCCACTTGAACAAAGGAGGAGAGAATTCCTGCAGGAAGTTCAGTCAAGGGGCACAAGCAAGTCTTAGTGTTGAGTTTCTGCATCAGGTGAGGTGTTACCTATTTCACAGTTAATCACTCTGTGGCAACATGAGATTAGGGTTTTGAAAAATGATAAATAATGTTCTGAGTGAAGAGAGGACTTTTGGAATAAAAGTACCGAGATTACAAAAGCTGCTTCTTAACTCTACCAAAGTAGTTTTAAAACATCTTGAGAAATGTCTTTCTGTGTATGTTGTAGATGCTGTCATGCTCTGATTTCTGGGTATGACTCCATACTTCCATATGTCATGTTCAGCCCATGAAATTTGGTGTGAACTGTTTAGGTGTGTATGACAAACAATCCTGCAAATCTGCCAGATAGAACAGTGTTACTTTGGTGTTTATATGTTATGAAGCTAGGAATGACTCATGAGAAAATAAATCATGGTTAGTAAAAAGCGAGAAGATAGGGAGAAATTACTCAATAAAGGGGGTTTTGAGGAGAGAGGAAACACACTCTTCAAACAGGAAGTGGTGGAATTTTGTTAATGGTGTTGCATGTGATGCAAGAAAGGAAAATAGCATTTGGAAGGAGGAAGCAGGGAAGTGGTCCATACTCTAGCCTCCAGCAGTAATCGACAGCAGATGCCTTGAAAAATTTAGGAACAGGGCAACTATAAAAGCACTTGCCCACATACACTCTCACTCTCTACGTGTTTGCAGCTTCCTGTGCCAGATAAATTTTTTTGGTAACTCCTGGATTTTTCCAGTGTTTGTCCAGTGTCTTGAACCATGTAAGCATTTGGCATCTGCAGCATCCTCTAGCAGAGAGTCCAGTTCTTAATTACGTGTTACTAATAGAACCAGCTCCTCTTGTCATAACTGACTGCCATTAGCTTTATTTGATGGCCCTTCTTGTAAAGGAGTAGAGAACTGAAGACGTGGTATGCTTTGTTCTGAAGGTGTGTGCTCACAGTCATGCTGGGGCTTGATTAATTTTTTCTTTGTTTTCTTAAAGCATGGTTCCAACCATGAAAGGAAGGAAAACTACAGTTCCCGACAAGAAAGTTTGTCTCCAGAGGACAGGTATGCTGAGTTTTATGCTTTTCAGTTCTGTATAAAGACCTCAAATACTGATTTAGAGAACTTAAAAAAATCATCAGGTTATATTTCTTTTTTTATTTTACTGTAACTGAGCAGTGAAAAGTAAGTATAGGTTTAATAAAATATTTGCATGTCAATATAACAGTAATTAAATGGATTTATTACTAGAACTTAATCTTTAAAAAATCATTAGCATTTAGCTGAATTGTCATGTGACCTGAAAATGGAAATTAGATGCTGCCTTTTTACTTGAACTCACATATTGCTGATGCCACAATTGCCATTTTAGGGCAAGATTTTGTGCTGCACAAGCAAAAATAGGTGAATGCATGGAGCTGAATTTACCTTTGCTATTTAATGTTATTAATATTTAGCATTTAATTTTAAATTCTAGGAGGAGCTTCCTTTTACAGAACCTTGATTTTTGCTAATTTTTTCCTGCCAAGAAAGTATTATAAAAGTAGATTCTTTTATTTGAATTAATGCTTATTGAAACTCAAGTTGTAGAATTAGAACAGTTGTGCATGTAAGTAGATGTTATATCAATATTATTGCTTTTCTCAGCCTTTTACTAAGAAATTTTGTGGTTTGGGTTGCAAGCAGGGATATGGAGCATGATGGATCTCCGTCTTCCAGAAAGAGAAGATACTCTGATGACAGCAGATATGATCAGGAATATTCCAGAAGGGAATACTATGATGACAGAACTTCAGATGGAAGGTATCAAGCCCTTTCTTAATCGGTAATAAAATACTAATTTTAAAGAATAAGATGTGAAAACTTTTCACAAACCCTTGGGTGTTTGGTGGGTGTTTTGTTTCTTTTTAGAAGAATGGAAAGGGGGAGAGATAGACACTATGACAGATGGGAGGAGAGAGAATATGATCGGAGGAAGCAGAGAAGATATTCATCACCTGATCGGAGGAGTCCAGAGAGGTCGACAGTTCAGAGCTCACTGGCTCATGATGAGGCCCCTTCAAAGAAGAAAAAAGAAGAAGTGGATCCAATCCTTACTCGCACAGGTGGTGCATATATTCCACCTGCCAAGCTCAGGATGATGCAAGAGCAAATCACTGATAAAAATAGGTGAGTTGAAAGTGACATTTTTTTTTGTGAAAGCAAAACTTTTAAAGGTTTTAGAGAATGTTGGCAAAATGGGATCCATTTAGAGGGATGTGATCATTGTTTTGAAGGTATATTTTTATCAGAAGAGATACAAGAGAATCAGATTAAAATTGTACTTGCTTCTACTGCAAAATGTGAATAGCAAAGTGGGATACAGAATGTAGCTAGGGATTTTTTGAAACAGCATAGAAAGCTGAACATACTGGATTATACCTTATCTGCACACAATTACATTTTGGTGTATCAGTGATTTTCTAGTAGTTAAATGTATAGTTGTGAACTAGTCTTCACGTTTATGCAGTGAATATTTTCTTACCTGAAATGACAATGTGAGTGTAAGTTTTATATGTATATATAAGTTACTCAGAGCTACTTAAAATTTATGCATTAATAATTTGTGATGCCTTTGTAATAGCTTGGCATATCAGAGGATGAGTTGGGAAGCCTTGAAGAAGTCGATCAATGGTCTTGTCAATAAAGTGAACGTTTCTAATATAGAAAACATCATTCATGAGCTGCTTCAGGAAAATATTGTTAGGGGAAGGTAAGTCTTAGTATTTGAAAATAATTCTTTTGCTTTTCTGTTACTATGTGTACTGTTCACATGTGCAGCACGATGTCTGCTATGTGTAGTGTATGGGTTCTGGTCAGATTTTAAAATTAACCTTGGGCTATATTGTCTTATGCAGAATAGTGCCTTACTTGGGAAAGGGATTGAATGCTTGGTGGAATAAAACAGTGCAACTTTTTCTTAGAGGTTTTTCCCTATGTGTTTTATTTGACTTGTAATTTACAGTTGTCACTGGCTGTTTATTTTTGTAGTGCTGGATGTTTTTTCTCTGGGACAAATAATATTTGTAATCAGTATTTGGCAATACAAGTTTTACTACAGTTACCTACCTTGTTGTTTATTGTTGTTATTTTTATTTTGCTATTTGAGCTCAGTACTAGGTCATGGTGATTGTGCAAGTATTGTGTGGTGACTTTCCTTGCATTAATTTTCGTGTCACTGGGGGTTAAATCTGCAAGTCTTAAAGAGCATGGGTTTCTTAGGTTGGCTACCATTTAAACAAACAAAACCAAACTACCAACCTGCGAGTTAAGTAAAATCTAGAGACTGAGCAAGTAGTTTCTGAATGTCATTCCTGTTAAAAGTATTAATGAAGTCTCAGGGATTTGTCGGACTGCTTTTTACTTTCCCACATTTCATGTCTCCGAAACATAATTTTCACACAAGCAATAGAATTTTAATTTGGAAATGAGCTTACTGAATGTCTGTAGAATATACTTGTCTGTGGAAGGTTTTGTGTCTGATTTATAAACGTCAAAGTAATGTAGATGGGAAATGGCTCCACTTCCTTCCTTCTTACACTGAAGTCCAACTTCCAGATTTGCACTAAGGTGCATCTGCAAGTAATGACATGAAGTTTCACCTAGCTGTCAAGTAATTTTCTAATGTTTTTAAGCAGAGGATAAATAAGAACTGAAACAGACCAGTTTCAGTTTGTAAGAAAGAAGTAACTAATAGTTTCAAGGTGGAAATATTCTGTTTCTATGTACTAGTACGAAATGAGTTCTATTCCATTTGCCAATTCCAAAGTAAGTAGGAATAAATGTAAGAAGGATTATTAGTATAATAAAACAACTATTCTCATGAGCCCTGTGTTTACATTCATTTAGGCTCTAAATAGTAGTGTTTTATAATCAGCCTAAGTTGGGGCTAAAAAAGGGATAATTGCAGGATACAAGATGGCTATTTGCATGCTTAGCTTTTTCAGCTGTATTTCTAAATGAACAATATTTAATGAAAGATGAGGTACCATTGTAAGAATTTCTGAGTTCAGGCAGATCTGGACAACATGTTTTGCCAAACTCAATTAGTGGCATGATAACCAACATTTTTAAAATGACCATCTGGTATCTTCCAATTATTCCAAATGCACGATACTATTTTATGTGATAAGTACTGAATAAAAATGCTACGTCTTATTACCAGAAAAATCTTAAAACCTATCTATTTTTACAGGGGATTGCTGTCTAGATCCATTTTGCAAGCTCAGAGTGCCTCTCCGATTTTTACTCATGTTTATGCAGCTCTTGTGGCAATTATCAATTCAAAGTTTCCAAATATTGGTGAATTGATTCTCAAGAGATTGATACTAAATTTTCGCAAAGGATATCGCAGAAATGACAAGGTATGTAAAATGTGAAGAAGCAACATGCTGAAACTTGTAATCCTGCTGTGTAACTGTGTATCAAGTGTGGTCAAATTACATACTTGAAAGGACACAACTAAGACCAGTTGAGATTGGTCTTTAGTACATTTAGTAGTATTAGAGTATCTTGAAAGTTTGACAACCTATTCTGGGTTGATACTGTGATAGTTTTGGGGTTTTTTTCTTTTTAAAAGTCTACAGTTCCAATTGCAAACAACTCCTGACTTAATTTTATTGTGAAATGCACAAATCTATAGTATGTTTGAGCTACAAATTTTTTTTCCATAGTTAAAATTTCCTGGTTTTTTTCTTTTGCAGCAACTCTGTCTAACATCTTCTAAATTTGTCGCACATTTGATGAATCAGAATGTGGTATGTTACTTTATATTTCTATTCAATCCAAACCATATATATGGCTAATTTTAATTTTAAGGCAGCAGTACCCTAAGTGAACATGCAATCCCTGCTCTAAGTGTTCCTGAAAACCTGAGTGTGGTGCCTACCTTAAGTTGTTAGAACCTCTTTAGAAAAGATATTGGTCATTGTTTGTGCAGTTATCATCACTCATCATTACACTTATGCTCCAGAGCTTCCCCAGGTTTCATATGCATGCGTGGGCTACTGTTCAGACAAGTCTTGATGCAAAGCAAGGATCATCTGAGGCTCTGTCCCACAGATCTTAAAGAGAGTTTTCTTGCAACATTTGTGTAAGCGGAACTGAACTTGGTTACATCAAAACCAAATTTGTGTCCAGCTCTATGCACCTTTAGCCCCAACTTATGTGTGATAAATCAGGATACTCCAGTTTAAATAATGGTAAGAAGCAGTGTTTCAGGAATGCTTTGGGAATGTACAGCATTTTGGTAAAGAGGAAGCTAATCCGAGATGTGCCATTTGCTTATATGCATAATCCTGGAAGAATTGATTTATTTATAGACAAAATGCACTTGGAACTAGTTTCTGTAATGCAAGTGCTGGTTTATTTGCTTCCTGGAAAGGCATTCTATTTTTTTCTTAATGGCAAAGTGGTTTTCATGCTTGCTTGTTCAGTAGCAGAGTCACATTTACTATGAAGTTGGTGTAAATAGAGATGGTAAAACCCTTTTAAGCAGCTTTGTCCCACTACTGTTGCCTTGTGTGTGTGATTAGTTTGTTGTGGTATCCTCAAAGTCTGTACAGATCTGTCCAGTAAATCACTGTGATGATAGTGTAACATTGTGCATTCTAATTATTTGCTGATATTTCTTTTGTAGGCTCATGAGGTTTTATGTTTGGAAATGCTCACTTTGCTCCTTGAAAGGCCTACTGATGACAGTATTGAAGTAGCAATCGGATTTATTAAAGAAAGTGGGCTCAAATTAACAGAAGTTTCTCCTAGAGGTATTAATGGTAAGTATAGTTAGCCAAAACATGCCTTTTTGTCATTTGTATTTAGTAGATCTTTTTCATATTTACATTTCTTTCTTTTCCAAAGCGATCTTTGACCGTCTTCGACACATTCTGCATGAATCTAAAATTGATATGCGTGTTCAGTATATGATAGAAGTCATGTTTGCTGTACGGAAGGATGGCTTCAAGGATCATCCAATTATTCCAGAGGGATTAGACCTAGTCGAAGAGGAGGATCAGTTTACTCATATGTTGCCATTAGAAGATGACTACAACCCAGAGGATGTTCTTAGTAAGTTAGAAATGAAAGATAATTCTGTGACTGCATTTCCTGAGAAAACAAAATCAAGATTAAATATTCGTTGTTTTCTTCAACTTGTATTTTAAATAAAGATTCTCTTTTGTTCTAAAGATGTTTTCAAGATGGATCCGAACTTTATGGAAAATGAGGAGAAATACAAAACACTGAAGAAAGGTAGGGGTATTCGTGTGCTCACACATTTTATATGTGATGTTCGTGTACTTAATGTACTTGATGTTCGTGTAACTTATCTATGGCATTTCCTTATCCAGCTGTTGTTGCCAGCCTTATTATTTAACAGTGGGGGTATTTCTGTCCTAAGCACTGTCATTCAGTTCATCATTGTGTTCCTGCTATTCAGTGTTATTTCTCCAACGGTGTTTTCCTTTAATTATGACATATCTGTTTTTTTGCTTCTACCACATTCTCCACCTGAGATATCCTTTCACTCTTTAGATGTTGGATCAGGGGTTTTTTGTAATGAAAATATTGTGATTTATATTCCTTAATAATCTGTGATACTCCTCTTTCAGAAATTCTTGATGAAGGTGACAGTGAATCTGAAGGAGATCAAGAAGCTGGAAGTAGCGAGGAAGATGAAGAAGAAGATGAAGAAGAGGATGAAGATGGTAAGTGTATAACTGGCACCTTACTAGTGGTTAATTGTAGATAAAATGGGAAAGCTTACCTTCTTAGATGTTTTGCAAAACTAAGATGTTCAAATTAAGGGATGTTTTCATCTTATTCTCAGATCTAAGTGTTTACTAGCAAATAGTATAAAAGTCATTGTCTTAAAGAAAACATTCAACACAGACAAAAACAGAAAAACAACTTTGCCCAGTTATTCTTGACAGTATCAGTTTTCTGTGAGAAAAGCCTTGCAAACAATGTTTGTGCAGACTGCATGAGTAATTGAAAAGGCAGTCAAGTATTGTTCTTGTGGAATACCAGTAATGGATTTCCTAAATGGCTTGCTGGGGTATTTCACAGAAGAGCAGAGCTTGCAGGCTGATGAAGAGTATGATCATTCACATAACTTTTCATCATTTATGCTTCAAACTTCAAAAGACTGAAGGAATAGTGAATACCTTATAAATGAGTGTTCACAGAATGGTTTGGTTCAGAACAGATTTTTCTACACTTACTTCAGGACAAAACAGAACTTTGCAGAATGATGTAACATAGATTCTACACATAATAGAAACTAAGAATTACCTGTTAAAATCAGGGGTGCCACATAAAGCATTGTATAGATAAATTGTGCAGAAAACAAGTTGCTAATAATGTAGACAAGAAATGTTAAACCCAGAGGTTGCAGTGGCTAAGTCACCTGAAGTCTTTAAAAGAAGAATTTTCGTGTTAAAACGATATCTAAATATTTTCCTGTTAGAGGAAGCAAATAACAATTTTTATTTTTTCCTTATTTGTAAAAATAAAGATTAAAAAAATACATAAACATGATAAACAGTCCTAAATATTTCTAGAAAAATAGGGCGCTACAGATGCAGTAAATAATAAATAGAGCTCTGCTAAGAGATTGCTACGTGTATCTTCCTTAGTGTTTTACTCTTTATAAAACCATGTTTTTATTTTCCAGGCCAGAAAGTTACTGTTCATGACAAAACAGAAATTAACCTGGTCTCCTTCCGTCGTACAATTTATCTTGCTATTCAGTCAAGGTAAATAAAATATGATTTGTATACCTGTAAGTGGAGTTCTTTTGAAATGGGTGAACTGGAGTTCTCTTTCTTTTAAAGGTCTTTCTTAATACGAAATTTAGGGAAAAAAACAAACAAAACAAAACAACAAAGTAGGGAACTGTTCGTTATGGAGCCTGACCTGACTGTGTAAAGCAGACTGTTTTGACAAATGGATACTCAAATTCTCTCTAAGATAAATCTTGTTTGTATCAAAATGTTTTGAGTAGTGAACTGGGATGTTTCTATGACTATTGCTGTAATCAGAATTTTCTCAGTGAATGAAAGTCAGTGATCTTTAGATTATACAGCATTTTAAGAATTTATGAAAAAAATTACACAATATAGACATACTTAGAAATGCAGTAGATTTTCTCCACTTCTGAGAGGAGTTCTGCAGTGCGATTCTCCTTAGGCCTGTTAACATCTGCATTGCTCGGAAAACAAGTATACAGATACCAACCCTGAAGTGTACTCTATTTGAAGTTGTCTTGAGAATGAAATCCCCTTGCAGTACGTGGCACAAACGATCAAAACATGGTATTACAGCTCCTGTCTCACCGGGATGAGAGGGAGATTGATCTGTTGCATGCCACGGAATTGCCACTGTCATTAAAAGTAGGCATGGCTCATAATACTCTGCAGGTCTGAACCTGCATGAGGAGTGTGGTAACGTAGTTGTGTTGATCATTAGATGTATGAATTAATACCATACTGAGAGGTATGGAAGGCTCGTATGTTTCTCAAAGTTGCTGTTAAATAGTTTCTTGCCATACTGAAGTTTGTTCATCTTTTACTTGGGTGGGAGGAGGTACTGTGGGTAGCTAAAGGCTTTCAGAACAGCAGTGTAAAGAGGAGAGTGTGATGTATATACTGCCTTTGGATCTTATGTGCAGTGCTTGCATTTCAGAGTGTTTCAGGATGTGCAAAATGAGCTCCTACTTTTTTATGTTTTATGTAGTTTTGTAAGATGATGTAATAATAATGACTTGAGTCATCTTGTTCTCAGATGGTTCACAAATGTAATCAGTTTGGATTAATTTTCAGATACAAATGCATGCAATATTTACCCCCCCCAACAACAAAAAAACCCCATCAAGTTAAACAACTGAGATAATTTATTTCCAAACAGTTGAAGTTTCAGCACCAACAATCAATCTTAATATAATTCTGAAATGTTTTTAGCATGGCATATATTGCACAGATAATGAGAAGTATTTTTTCTATTCAGCTTAGACTTTGAAGAATGTGCTCACAAACTGCTGAAGATGGACTTTCCTGAAAGTCAGACTGTAAGCCTTGCTTCTTACTCTTTTGTGTTATTAACATTATTAAGAAATAGTACAATGGTAGTATCTAAAATCCTTGCTCATGTTCTGGGACCTGGTCTGTGTAGCAACCAGAGGAATGGGTGATTCCTTACAGCTGTTTCTCAAAATGAATTTCATGCCCTTTAGAGCAAATAGACTGACACATATTTCATAAGCAATTTGTCTTATGCATTTGCTCTTTTCTGTCAGGCAACTCAAATGTTTGCTTGTAGCCTGTTTGAAAAGGTCTGTTGTTGAAACTGTTGAAACTTTTATCCTGTGACAGGAGTACTGCAGCATGGCAGTCACTCTCGGAGTTCTGTCTCTGAAAGAAGGTGGGGTTGAAGATATTTGCAGACAGCTGTAGACTTTATCAGTGGGGTTTGAAATTTAGCATAGTGCTAAAAGTGTTGTGTTTTGTTGCTTTCACAGTCTTCATTGAATAAACAGTGTATTGAATTAAAGCAGTTTTGAGTATAATTGCTGTAGTCTTGTAGATTATCAAATACAAGCTGTTTTGTTTTCAGATTCTGTAAGATCAATACAGTTGGTATGTTTTCAAGTAAAAGAAATCATTCTTCATCTGGTACTTATATTTGACACTGGTAGAATGTAAATACCCATCTAATTTTTTAAACAGCTTTTCAACCAGCTGTAAGCTATCATCATGGGAGTTGCACTGGAGAGTTGTTAATTTCCTTGTGGCTTTAATTATCACTTTTTTATTTGAAACAATGTATGTAGTAAGTAACCTTATTAGTATAACACTAACTAGTGAGGGGAGATCTGGGCTATGGTTAGGTGCTCTTTGAGAACTGGTTTTGCCCATCAGTTTTTCAATTCTTGTTCTGTTTTGTTATTAAGCAATTTACATGGAAGTAAACTAAGAACTGAGGTGGGGTATCTTTTTTATCTAGTTCTCTAATTCTATGCATGAAATGCAATCCTAAGCATGCACAAGTTTGTAATTCTCAGTGAAGCATAACCTGAAGAATTCTAAAGAGAAAAAAAGTTTCCAGCAAATCAATTCAGCTCTGAAGAATAGAGCTGACATTCTAGAATATATGTACTACATCATACAACAGTCATAGTGCATAACACTACCTGCTTGTTTGATAACTGCTCAGAAAACTGGTATTTCATATCATGGCAGTCTCTGTCAACTCCTAACTTCTGTGGGCAAATCTGCTCAGAAAAAGTAAATTTTGTAGGGGAAGGAAGAAAACCCCAACAAGTAGTATCACCCTACTATTCAGTACTAGTTTTAGGAATTACTGCAATTCAAGGTTCAAAAATGTTGCAAAACTGCATCTTCTTATCACATGAGGCCTCTTCTTTGTACTGATTTCTTTTTTTCTCTAATAATCGTAATTACTCTTCACCTCATTTAACCAAAGATGTGAGAGCTTTGACTTGCTCATTGTATAGAACTAAGCTCCTTTATGGGGGCAAAAAGAGACAAAGAAGATGCTTCCTGATCGTTGAGAGAACAGAAAGAATAAGCAGTTATAGGCAATGAAATTATTCAAGGATTTATGAGGCACAAGTCTGTCTATGTGGATTAAAAAAAAACTGAATGCACTTAGGAGGAAATTTGTTTAATTAACTGCCAGTTTTTAAACTAGGAAAATCATCTTTTATTCTTTCAAGCTAGTATCTTCAGATTGAAGCCTTTATTGAACCAATTCCCCCTACCTTCATTATGAAAATAAACCACTAGTAAGTTTGCAGATGACCCCAAATTGGGCAGGAGTGTTGATCTGCAGGAGGGCAGGAAGGCAGAGGGATCTGGACATGATGGATGGATGGGCCAGGGCCAGCAGTGTGAGGTTCAATAAGTCAAAGTGACAAGTCCTGTACTTGGGCCTCAACAGCCCCAGGCAGCGCAACAGGCTGGGGAAGAGTGGCTGGAAAGCTGCCTGGGGAAGGACTTGGCAGTGCTGGTCAACAGCTGGCTGGATGGGAGCAGCATGTGCCCAGGTGGCCAAGGCCAATGGCATCCTGGCCTGTATCAGCAACAGAGGGGCCAGCAGGGCCAGGGAAGTGATTGTCCCCCTGTACTTGGCACTGCTGAGCTCACACCTTTAGTGCTGTGTGTGGCTGAGGGAGCTGGAGTTGTTTAGTCTGGAGAAGACTAAACAAAGGGGACCTTATCACTCCATACAAGTACCCAAAAGGAGGTTGTAGTGAGGTGGGACAGGACCAGAAGAAATGGCCTCAAGTTCCACCAGAGGAGGTTTAACTTAGATGGTAGGAACAATTTCTGCAGTAAAAGGTTGGTCAGTTATTGAAACAGACTACCCAGGGAAGTGGTAGAATTACCATCCCTGGAAGTGTTCAAAAGATGGGTCTATGTGGCACTTGAGGGTATGATCTAGTGGAGAACACGATGGTACTGGGTTAATGGTTGGACTTGATGATCTTAGAGGTATTTTCCAACCTTAGTGATTCTATGATTCTTTACTATTAGTTTTTTAGCCATAAAACACCTTTTTCTTTTATGGTCTGTTTTACAGAAAGCTTCATTAACTGCTGTGCAACACAAGTGTTTGTATGTTTAATACCAGTAATGGATCTGTCGCACAGCTCTGACTTGCACAAAGAGGATTAAGGTTCAAATGGATAATCTACAGACTAGAACAACATAATACTGCTTTTTGGCATTGCAGTTTAGTACCAGCTGCTGAGGGCGATGTCAACAGTCCTCTAATTATATTTTTTAAGGAGGAAAAACATTTAAAGAGTTGAAATTCTTTCTTTTCTACATAAATTTTCCAGGAGTGGGCTTGCTTTTACTCATGTTACTTAGACCCAACTGAAAGCTGCAGATCAAAAGTTGAAAAGCTTTGTTGTAGTCTGTACTACAACCTGGGAGAAGCTGTTCTAAACAAGCCTTGAAGTTGCTTTTTTGGACATATGCTCAGTCTTGGCAGAGAACACAATTTCTCTTTTTTTAAAAAGTACTATTATCTCTGTTAAAGCTACATTAATCCCATGGGTTACTAAAGAAGAAAATTTAAATAAATTGAAACTGTAGTTGGAGTATAGTATTACCAGTTCTTCTGGCTTTTGAACTATGAGGAAAGCAAACAAACAAGCCCTACTGAAATGTCAGAAATAGGCTTTTTACATTATGTTTACCTTGAACAGATTTTTGTTTCCTCTGGTCTTGGAGGGAGTACTTTTCAGTTTCTGTCATTTTTAGTTAAAAAAACCCCAAAGAGTTCCGTTTCCTCACAGTAATAAAAGAGTATGCAGGAGTGACAACTGCTTAGATGTAGAATTGATCCTTCTTTAAGAAAACATACATTAGGAATATAGGGTTTCTTTCCTTTTTTCTTTCTTTTTTTTTTTTTTGAAGATGGAAATGTCATGACTTGTTGCCCAGTCTCCCTCAAGAGTGGTGAGGACAACCAAAAAATTAAACCAACCACACACTGTTCTTGCTTTTTAAAAGTGTGCTTAAAAGGGTTTGGCTTTTAGGCATTTCTTCCATTTTTTGGTTGTGATTAGAACTAAATTTGTATACAGCAGTGCTTGAAACTTCGCTCAAGTTAGAGCCTCTTCTGTATCTGTCCCCCAGTGTGGGTATCCTAGACAAAAGTAATGGGTCATGGAATATTTTATTTTTCTTTTTCCTTGAAATGAGAAAAGTTATTGTAGGCACAGCCTTCTTGAAAGAATTATACGTGCATCTGACACATCTTCATTTTTGCAGGATGGTGTCACTTGCTCAAAGTAACCCTGGTTTGAGGGGTGGGAGTGTCAGTGTCTCTTGCTTTACTTATGCATCGAGTCTTGAAGATCACAGAAGTCCTTATGTTGACTTGACATTCAGTGAAAATGTAGTTCAGGAAACTGGTGTAGAGCGGGATGGTCTAAAGCTGATAATTCTGTTCAGGTCAAATGGATGATTTCTTAGATTCATTGCTTTCCTTTCTAATCGGAGGGTATTGCAACTGATAGGTTTGGCATCTGCACCATGATTAGTTCACAGAGTTGCTATTGTCTGTACAAGGTGCTCATCCTCAGGTAGGTTTCCTGTCTTCTGAAGCAGGACTTTTCATGGGCCTAAGATGTGGAATCAGTCTAAATTTTCATAATTTACCAATCAAAAAAAAAGCATGTACATGCCATGTTGTGGTATATGTTCATGTTTACAAAATCAAGGTATAGAATCCATACAGAGTTAGGCTGTATTTGTGTATTACTGATAGCAGGTATTAGCTAGAATTCTGACTAGACTTTGATCTTCCAAGCATGTATGTATATATGCATTTAACCTAAGGAGATGGAATTGCTCAGATTACCTCAGTGGAATTGCTTAAAATAATGTTTTGCATGTGTAGCCTTCAGGTGGAAAGAAAGAAATACTTGTGGAGCTTTTATGTGCTATTTCACCAGACTCTTTTGTGTGTGTTTGTGTGTTGCAGACTTATAGCAGCAAGAATTAAAAATATATCTGTCCTTATATCCAGTTAATGATTCCTGTGTGAAATGTTAAGTCTGATTTATGCGAGATTTTTGTTTCCCATATTCAGCTTTAAGCATATGTTGCTCTAAACATAGAACAAGTTGGGGTAAAAAATGGTAAATAAGGGGACAAAAATTGAGGAAGACCATTAGCTGACCATGGGACCAACCTGGAGACAGTGTAGTAGCTGCCAAAAGCACTGTATGTAGTTTGCCAAGAGGCCACCTGCTACTGAAACGCCTTCCATAGCTTTGCCAGCCTTGGTTCCATGTGGTAATTTGACAAATAAGGAAGAAAAAGAGCAGACATGCTGGAAAAATAGGCTTGTGTGATTGTTACACATATTAAAATATACAGCAGTAAGCAAAGCTTTAGGGTAGTCAGAGGAAGTAAAATACACTTCAGTGAAATGAAAGAGAAAAAAGGAAAAATTTTGCATCTGTAAAAGCAGTGCAAATCTATAAAATGCAAGGCACTTATTTCACATAATTCCAATTTCACATTGATTTAAATGAACCTGTCCTTCACTAGGTTTGCTCCCAGCAAATCAATTCCTTTAGTTCTGCGAAGAAACTCCTAGAAACCAAGTTCTCTACTTTGGGAAGCCTCATTAGCTTACTGGATGGGGATGTCTCGTGGTGGCTTCTGTTCGTGTTTGCAACGGATGGAACAGAGCTGTGGGGCTGGCAAGGGAGGGGAGCTGCAAATGGCATCCCTGCCAGATAGGGAGGGGAGTAGAGACTCCTCATGGAGGAGGTCTCCTCAGCCTGTGGGGCAGCTCCAAAATTCCAGTCTTAACTGAACGCAAATCTTAAAGAAATTGCAAAAAAATGAGGCTGAGAGCATATAGACTGGGCAGGGTGTGCTTGTTTTTAAAATGGTAAAACTGGGAAAAAGAACAAGTCCAATTTTTCTGTCTTTTCCTGGCTTACCCTTTAGCATCTTCAAATGTGTGATGATACTTGCCATGTTAGGTGGAAGCATGGTTCATCTAAACCATTGCTGTGTTTGGGTAAGAGCTAGTTGGAAACGTTCAAGCAGAAGTGTGAGAAGTGCAGTGAATTTAGAGGGAGCTTTTCTCTTTATCTTCTGTCTTAGTAGTTTCAGGAAGTGCTGTTGTTATCCATGATCTAATAATAAATTTAAGATCTTCATAAAAGATCAGTCACCATCTGGATGAGATGTCACATATTTTTGAAGTGGTTTGTTTCATGGTCGGATAGCTGTACATATTTTCTTAACTAAGCTGAAGTCACTTGTTGAGCATTGAATGAAAATTGTTGAACACCACAATATATGAATTGCCTGTAAAACAGGGGAACAAATTCATTCCATTCTTCAAAACAAGTGATGGGCTAAATAACACAGGCTCTTCCTGCCATAAACATCATTGGGAGTACAGAAATGAGTTAACTAACCTTTGAAGCTGGAAATTAAGCTGGAATTGCTGTCTGAAATTGTTGCATCTCTCAAAAAATAATTAAATAATTGTAAAGTTTGTTAATTTTAAATCTGGAAGACAGTTACTCTAGACTTAGCCTCGAGTTGTTTAGATAACACTAGCAAGAATGTCTTTACGGGAAAATCTATTTTCATGCATGTGGCTATTCAAGATACCCTCCTAGAAATCTTTGTAATATTTAATTAAAATGTTAAAATATTTAATTACTGTAAACCACAGGGGATACCAGCATTATAATTGCATTTAAGATGAGGAAGAAAAGTAATTTGTTTTTCAAGTCTTCCTGATGTTATTAACAGTGACATCAGCACTGTACCCTTTTTATTGTTTAAAAACTGATTAACTGCAACAATCCCATAAAATGGGATGATATAAAAAGTTAATATGCATTTTAATACATCACACTAACAGAGTGTGACAGTGTTAAAAGGAATGCCTGTAAACACATCTCTAAGTTTATTTGGTACATTACTGCCTTGTTATTTGAGGGGGTATTTTTTTTTTCTTGTTCAGCATGGTTGGCCTTGTTTTTTGAGTTTTTATGATGGGCAAAAATGTTACTTCTGAATATATGCTTGGGAGACTGGCACAGGTGGGAGAATATGAAATCTAGTATATGCTACAGTAAATTGTTGAGAACAAAATGCTTGAAATCGTCCTTTTTTATGGGAATGTTAATATTAGTTTAAAGAGAAATTAATAATGAAAGATACATGACTGACAGCCAGAAACATATTTGGAAGTGTCATAAATTGGATTATGCTATGGAATTGGTCTTAATGAGAAAACATAAAAAAAGAAAAAGGGAATGGGGAAAAACTGCAGTGCAGTTCAAGCATTGTGTATTTCATGGCTGTTAATTATATAAAAATACTGCTTTCACTTTTCTTAATTAATGTTTCAAAATATGCCCTTAACCAATTCCTAGCTGTATTACAATCTGTAACTTATGTAGTAGGTTAAAGAATAAGTTTGGTTTTAAACTTGTGTAGGCTTACTTGCCTGGCTCACTGCTCTCGGCCAGTGGAGGGTGCTGGTCCTAGAGGTGAGGGTACAGAGCACAATCCATCTGGGTGTTTCCCTCCGGTTCTTGGGAGACAAGGAGAAAGGGAGACAGTCAGACTGTATTCAAGAAAGACTGAACTAACTGTTCCAGACAGTTGGTGTAAGGGAAGGAGGGCATCTTCTGTTGCTTACATCTGTGTTCACCTTGGAGACAGGAAAGTGAAAGGCAGGCTGTCCCTGATGGGGGATGCACAGAAGTTTTGGGAGACTAATCTAGTTAGGCTTCCTCTGCTTCTTCCTAGGCAAGGAGAGATGCTTTTCTAAAGGGTGATTCTGAATATGAGCCTAAAACTGTTGCTTTAGAAAAGTTCCTCTCATTCCCTTTGTTATAGACTAAGTCTAGGCATGTTGGCCTCCCAAGGTTTAGTCTTTCTGAACATCACCCTCAGGACTGAAGCAATTGCACTGTAATGCAGCCTTCTTCTTGCAGAAGCTTGTCAGGAAAACTATAGCTGCATAGTTAAAGGTATTAATATGTACCAAAAACTACAGATATTTCTGATTTTCGAAATACATTGCTAACCATGCACATGGCGTTTTCAAATAGCTTGTCTCTAAGCCATTTTGATATTTGAAAGTCGTGAAGAGTTTTCATTTCCTATAAATGCAGGAATTGGTGCTATTTAAAACAAACCGAAAACCCCAAAACTCCAAAAAACCAAGCAATACACAAACAAAAACAAAACCACCAAAAAAACCCTCAAAACCTTACCTTTTATCTAATATCTCCTTTTTTCACTGTAGTAAAGTCATTTTGTAAATGAATTCTGACTTTTTTTTTTAATTAGATAAACAGTGTGTTAGAGGAAATTTGAAGGGCAAAAGTTCATATTCACATCCCAGAGGAATTCAAAAACTATTGGTGTCACCAATGAAGTTTTATGTAAATGCTCATTTCAAAGCTCATACCCATGTAAGGCTTTCTTCAGTTATTTGGTTCTTAGTGATGGGGTTTTTGCTGCTGCTGTGAATTTACCTAAAGAAATATTGGTTTTTTCCATAACCCAGAAAGAACTCTGCAATATGATACTTGACTGCTGTGCTCAGCAAAGAACATACGAGAAATTCTTCGGGTTACTGGCTGGGGTGAGTTCTGTTTTCAGATTTTCACACTTTATGATAGAAAATTTCATTGGTTTACTCTACTTTTTGTGTGTCAAACTTAAGTTTTAACGGATAAATAAAACTAAAAGGTTTTCTTATCATTCTGAAAATGCTTATGTTAGTTAATTGTATTAGTGCATTGAATTAACATTTTGATTTTAATGACCATAGTGAATGCAGGATGAGAGAACTCATTTTCCCTTTATAATGTTGCTTATTTTGCCTTACTTTTTCTTCTCATTGTGGTAGAACAATAAATCAGTGGCAAAGAAATGGTACTAAAAAGACAAAAGTATTATGAGCCTTTTTACAGTGCTGAATATTAATTTTGGAGACTCCTGTTATTTACCACTTCTTTCAGAAGTGCTTAGTAGGACTAATTTAGAGCACAAGATTGAATACTTACTCTCCCGGGCCTGTGAGTGTTTTGTTTGCTTTTCAATAATCACCTAACTCTCTGTTTTTGTGTAACTGCCTGCTAATTTAGTTGCAGTGATTTCTTTCTTAGGTTTTCCTTATCAATAATATTGACAGATCTGAAGAGTTAAGGTGAAACACTTGTATTCTCAAGGGGGCAGCTTATGCTGAAAGCAAGTGGATTTTTTCATCTCTATATGTCATCCAATACTTGAAGAAATCCATCTGCTGACAGTCAGTTACAAAGCACTAACCATACGAATTTGCATGTTCAGATGAATATAAATTTTTATTTCCATATACTTTGGAATGTTTAGATCCAAAATGTCTTAACCTCTGTGTTTCCCACTGCTTCTCTAAATTGAAATAGTCATTCAATAATGTCATGAGAAAAGTGGGGTTATATCCGGTGAAAATACTGGATATATAGAAGTAAAACAAATTGCTGGATAATTTGCTGTAGTTCAAAATTGATAATTACTACTTTGCAGTGTAGATGAGTTTCTTGTTCTGACAACTGCTCAAAGCAATAAAATATATCCATTTGAATGTTTTTTCTCTTCCTCCAAGGGTTATTTAAAAAGGAAATCTTGCAGTAAATACACCATTAGGTCACTTACATGTAGATTATTTGCATATTTAGTATTTTGTTTAATCTGTTGTTTAAATTGTACAATTCTGTCTCAGCGTTTCTGCATGTTAAAAAAAGAATACATGGAATCCTTCGAAGCTATTTTCAAAGAACAGTATGATACCATTCATCGTTTGGAAACGAACAAACTGAGAAATGTTGCCAAGATGTTTGCTCATCTACTATACACTGATTCAATTCCCTGGAGTGTAAGTTCAAAACAAAGAGCTATTGTCATAGATTTCTTTTTCAGTAGTTAATCTCCAGTACTCCACAATAATATGTAATGTATTAGTTCTAGTATTTGTTCTGCAATTTGGAGCTACTTGTTCTTGTAGCAAACTGGATTATGTTAAGTATCTTCTCAGACACTGTTGAACAATTCTGCTTGGCTCCATCTCCTCTTTTGCGTGTTGTACATCATCGATCTTCCTCCCCGTTTTTCAGTAGTTGATTTAAGCTTTATGTCACTTTATGGAACTCAGCTGGAATTGGTTGATTAAAATGTACATCTTTTAGAAAAGAATTTTGAACTTTTAATCTTCTGATAAAATAAATTAAAAGTTGTGTAGAATTTTAAGACATTTAAAAAGTACTGCCATTTGATGATTTAAGCACCAAATAAATAAAACAATCTTGCATTCTGAGATATAGTAACATTAAAATCATAACATGAGATATAACAATATTAAAAAATGAAGAAGTAAATATAAGGTTACTTTGCTTTTCAAGTAATTTATTGTTTCATAGCCTAGTCTAATTGTCATTCTTCAGGCACACATAAGTCAGTCCAAATATTTTACCTCTGTACTTAAGTCCCAAATCTCTAACTTCCCAGAAGTTCACACACCTGATTTTCTCTTATGGAGCTTTTGTAGATAAAACAAATCCTTGAAGAGTTATTAACATAAATATAATCAGAAGCTACTCCCAGGTGCTAGAAAAGAATTTTTGAGAAAGTCTCGACTAGGAATCATGGTCTTTTGAAAAAAAAAAAGAAATAGAAGTCAGTCTTTACTGGTTATTTCTAACAAAATTTTTAAGATAAATAAAAGAACGTATGTTTAAACTTAAAGGTTTATGTTATTCTGAATGTTTTCAGGTCCTTGAATGTATAATACTGAGTGAAGAAACTACCACGTCCTCCAGTAGAATTTTTGTCAAAATATTCTTTCAGGAACTCAGTGAATATATGGGACTTCCTAATTTAAATGCAAGATTAAAAGATGAGTAAGTAGAAATTTTATTTTCAAAACTCTAAATTTAATGAGTTCCTTTATCTGAAAAAGTGCAGATAAGAACTCTGTGTTCAAGTTGAACTAAGTTCTGTAGCTGCAGTGCTTCAAGAGTAAGTTCATTTGTAGATTTAGTCGTTGCAAAGAGTCATATTAAGTTCAGTGTATTGCCATCATTTTGGGTTCAAGTATCTGCATGACTGTTTGCAAGGTATCTCTTCCCCCTCTCCCCTCCCCCATAATATTCAGCTTTTTATAAGAATTTTCCAAGTGTGAGTCTATTTTTATATACTGTCAGCTATATAGCTGCATGTTAAATGTTACTATGGCTTCTTTTTCTGACAAAAATTAGAAAAAACTGCATTTATTAGTAACAGGTTTCCTAGAATCAGTTGCTTATCTTTAAGTGTAGTGTAAATAACATTTTCTTTTAACTCTGTATGGGATTTAATGCATTGCATTCTGGCAATGTTACTTTTAATTACTTGAGCTATTTTCTCTAAGTTGGCATTTCTTCTATGTATGATGAAGAATTTGGTAGATGATTTAGCTCTTGTAAACATAAATTTGAAACAATACTTAAGGCCCCGTATAACAGGGTTTCAACATATGTACCTATGCCTTTGACCTTCTCCGTCAGTGCACATTATCCTGTGCTGTCACAGGCTACTGCAATTTTACAAGTCTCTTAAGGGCTTCACATGATCTGTCAGTATGTAGCAATTCTGTGGGTGAAGAAGTTTGCTTTTCATAAAAGAGCAAGTTTTTAAATAGCGTTTGATTAGATGCATCATAGATGCAAACAATGAAAGTGTTGAAAAATGCATGAACAGAAAACCTGCTCTCCTTTAGAGACCTATACAATTTCTTTTTTTCAGTTTCTTGATGTCAGTGAGTGCTGAGCTGGCATGGTGTTTAATTTAGATGTTTGTTTCCATCAGGACACTGCAGCCGTTCTTTGAGGGATTAATGCCTCGGGATAACCCAAGAAACACTCGCTTTGCCATCAATTTCTTCACCTCCATTGGCCTTGGAGGACTAACGTGAGCAGCACTTGTCTGATTTGAGATTCACTTTCTTCATCTTCCCCCAACCCCCTGTGAACAAAAAAAAAAAATTGAAAAACAATTTTTTTTTTTTTTTTTTTTTGCTACTTAGGGATGAATTACGGGAGCATCTTAAAAATGCACCAAAGTTGATTATGACACAGAAGCAAAATGTTGAGTCATCGGATTCCTCTTCATCTTCAGAGACAGATTCTTCCTCGGATTCTGATTCTGATAGCAGCAGTACTAGCTCAGAGTCATCCAGCAGCAGTGACTCCTCATCTAGCAGTGACAGCAGCAGTGACTCAGGTATTTAAACACTAGCTGTATAGCTATTTACTTCTCTTTTACTTCCATTTATTTACATCTGTTTATTTCTGTTTCTATATATACTTGTTTTGAGGAAAATCTGGCTATAAACAGTGTTAATTTCTCAATTAATTTTTAACTTAGCTTTAAAATATTAAATATTGCTCATGGAAATTTATTTTTGAATTTAGAAAAACTGAGATAGAGTCTCTCTTTTAGAGACGTAAATGTCTGAGAAACATTGTTTTGTTGATTACTTTTTTTACACAGTTGATACCTGTTGAATACTATTATGATCTCAGTTTATTGGAGGATGGAGGAATTACAGTTATTCCCTATTAATATCTCTGTGAGATGTTAACTGGTGAACTGTAGAGATTAATGTCCACAACTCTGTTTTGCTTGGCTTGACTGAGTGAGCTTGATACTACTTGTGTCCTTCCCAGTAAATATGTGCGTCTTTGTGAGTCAGAAATTACTCTCTTCAGTTCTAGCAATGTATTTAAATATTATTCTTCATCTGAGCCTCCATTTCTAATTCCTCTTCTTCAGGAAGAGTTTGTGTGGTAATACTCTGAAGGTTCTTGTCTGTAGAGAAATCTCCAAGGAAGAATTAGCTTTTGCTGACAACTTAGTATTTTTACCCATTATAATTAGTGCTTAGCATCTTATACCATCCTGCTGATGTAGAACCTTTATCTGGTATGAATTGTCATAAACATTGCTTAGTCTTTAAAGTACATGCCAGTATGAGTTAGTGTGTGCAGTCTCCCCCAGTATATACACAAGAGCAGGTGATGGCACAGCATGACTTCCTGCAGTACTGAGGTTTGCTGATTCGAAGTTAATTTGATTTATTATGTGCCTTTGAAATGAAAGTGTTGATTTATAACATAAAAACAGTGTGAACTGCTCATGCTTTGGAAATGCACTTCAGTTCTCCGTCACAATCTTAGTGCACAGGAGTCTGGGTTGTGTGTCATCACACTAATCGCATTAATGACGACAGCACTAGAGGAGGGCACAGTCCAGCAGGGTCAGAGGAGGCACTGGTTCAGCACAGAGCCAGATGGCTCCTGTGTGGGCAGCTGCAGCTCTGCTGAGCTGCTTGATAGGAACCAGAGGGGGACGTCCTTAGTGACAAACCAACCGAGTCTGCAGTCTGACAGTGTGAACACTTACTTTTCCAAGTTTAGGACCATCCCTTTTACTGCTTGCCTTTTCTCCATTCAGGAACACATTCATTAAAATTTGAAACTTGATACCTTTGCATCCTGGTTTCACTTTTCTTTCTCAGGTTCTTGTGTACTTTAATACAGTGATTGAAACACTAATTGGAAATAACTGTACTCTAATGGTAAACTTAGCTGAGGCACATTACTGGTTATAACTCCAAGTCTTCCTGTGTTTGCAGCTTCTTAAATCTATAAAATAACTTGGAAGAGTTAAAAGACATTTTTCAGAGGAATGTGGTGCAGTATTTCAGTATTTTAACAGTGCAGTGTATAAGAGGAAAATAGAAAATATACTAATTAGAAACTGAGAAATTGAGCATACAGCTAAATTAGAGATTACTGTCTTACTGCCAGTTAATGTTTGGGACTTCATCAGCTAGCTCAGCTCAGCACTACTCTGAGGAGGTACTTCTAACCAAAACAAGTCCAGCAGAGGATGGAATCTATCTGTTATCAAAGCAGCTGGTTCTTTTCTGTTTACTTTCTAGGGTCATCTTCTGCATTCTGGTGGATGTAAAATAGTATGGAAAACACTGTTTAAAAAACTTAATGCATTACAATGTATCTGAATTGATCCATCATTGCATTTTATCAGAATGTCAGAAAGCCTCAGTTCAGACATGAAACTAGAAAACTGCTGGAGAGTTCAGATGTTACATGTACTAGTCAGTTTATGGCTGTGATATTTTCAAAAGCTGATGTGATACTATAGTTCATACAATAAGGTGAATTAATGCTTGCTCTAAATGGCAGTTAGTGATAAATACTGTCAAGTGGAATCTGGAGGTCCCTTATAGAGAGCAAACAGGAAAGGTAAGGCCTCTTCCACTGAGATGAGCATTACTATGTATTTAGAAATACAGAAGTTAGTTTTAATCTTGTTGACAAAGCTGTCACTGCTCATCCTGAAAAACTGAGTCTGAGGTCCATTGTTATATTGCTGCAGTACCATTATCTCAAGCCATTTCGTCATCCCTCTATTTCCTCATAGAATAATGTTGGAGATTTTTACCCATCTGCTGTTTTTAATCTCCATTGACTGAGAAGCTTTTCCAGGAAAAGTAAATGATTTTGAGACTGGATAGTCTGGGAAGGTCATCTTCCTAAAAAAAACCATTATTTGTGAGAATGCTTTGATGTGTGACTTTACAGCCTATGCCTGGTTGTTTTGTATCAAGTCAACAAGAGGATGATGACAGGGGGAGGTTTTTAAAAGACAGGCATCACTTGCAGATAGCTAAGGGAATAAAAATCGAAGTTCATTATTTTGGAACTTTTGTCCTTATACATGCACACAAAAAAACAACTCTCTACAAATTTTTCTGTACTTTAATAAGTTAAACATATTAAATCAAAATGCAATCTTAGTCCCATAATTTGTTATAATTTCAGATGTTTCTAAAACCAGAAGAAGGAGAATGCAGAAGAAAAATAGAGAATCCAGTAAAGTTTCCAGGAAAAAGCAAGAAAGGAAAAGGAAATCCATTGAAAAGAAAATGGGAAGGAGGCGTCAAGAGGAAAGAACTGATACTGAGAGCAAATCAGAAAGAAATCACCGACATTTAAGAGAATCACACAGAGATGATGTGTCTAAATATCATCACAGAGATGAGTCCAATGGCAGAGATGGTTACCATAGTGGAAAAGATAAGAACCATGACAGAACTAAGGATCTAGAAAATAAACACAGTAATTCAAAAGTTAAGAAAGCAGACAGAAGATCTTCTTTGTCTGATGATGAAAATTACAGACACTGGAGCAAAGATCATGGACATCGCAGCAGAAAAAGAGAAAGATCAAAATCCAGAGAGAGAGAACGTGACCATTCCAGTCCGAGGGAGGAGCAACAAGAGGACTGGTACAGAAATGGTTCGGAGAAACACCGGGAGAAATACAGCCGCTACTCTGACCAGTACAGGGAGTCCAGGGAGAATGAGGATAGGGAGCCCAGGGAGAATGAGGAGAGGGAATCCAGGAGGAATGAGGAAAGGGAGCCCCGGAGAAATGAGGGGAGGGAGCCCAGAAGGAACGAGGAGAGGGAATCCAAAAGGAACGAGGAGAGGGAGCCCAGGAGTAAATGAGGAGAGGGAATCCAGAAGGAATGAGGAGAGGGAGCCCAGGAGAAATGAGGAGAGGGAATCCAGAAGGAATGAGGAGAGGGAGCCCAGGAGAAACGAGGAGAGGGAATCCAGAAGGAATGAGGAGAGGGAGCCAGGAGAATCGAGCAGAAGGAATCAGAGGAGAGGAGAGCCCAGGAGGAACGAGGAGAGGGAGCCCCAGAAGGAACGAAGAGAGGGAGCCCCAGAGGAACGAGGAGAGGGAATCCAGAAGGAACGACGAGAGGGAATCCAGAAGGAACGAGGAGAGGGAACCCAGGAGGAACGAGGAGAGGGAATCCAGAAGGAACGACGAGAGGGAGCCCAGGAGGAACGAGGAGAGGGAATCCAGAGACGACGGGGAACCAGGAGGCCGAGAGGGAATCCAGAAGGAACGAGGAAAGGGAGCCCAGGGGGAATGAAGAGAGGGAATCCAGAAGGAACGAGGAGAGGGAGCCCAGGAGGAACGAGGAGAGGGAGGCCAGGAGAAACGAGGAGAGGGAATCCAGGAGGAACGAGGAGAGGGAATCCAGAAAGAATGAGGACAGACAAAGGGAGAATTCCCCACATAGACGAAAATGAAGCCCAAACACGGTTTGAAAGAAATGTGCATTTCTGAGCTCTTAAGACTGTATTTTAAAATCTATTACTGAACTTTCTTTAAGAAAAGATTTTGTACAGAGTGATAGTTTGCATTTGTAAATTTTACCAGACTTTTCCAAGTTTTCTGTACCACTTTTTTATAACTGTATGATTTTCTGTTAAGTTCTTCCTTGGGAAAGACAAAGCTCTTTATTTTGTGAATAAAACCATTAAGATATCAGCAAAATGGGTGGTTTGTCACTTAGTTTCAAGTATTTGTGATTGTAAGTTTACAGTCCAAAACAACATTGTTTTTTAACTTTGCTGTTAATTCAAAGCCAGATGCTGAGAGCAAGGTGATAAACAACAAATTTCAGATTACAGTGTGAATGTTACATGAGAAAACTGTATAAAAATTTTCAAACAGGCATTCTATATGTGTATATTCTTCCAACTATACAAACATGAAAAAAAAATCACTAAATGTTTCAGTTGATTTTTTAAATTAAGATTTTTTAAATTGAAACCCCAGTGTTTCTGTTTTAAATGTCACATGTGAAAGTGTGTCAACTTGTTCTGTTACTTTTCACAATGTTTTTTAATATTGTGACATCCTGAGCTAGTTACACTTGAGATCTTAGGGGGGAAAAATGGTTAGTTTGGGTTTTATTTTTTTAACTATGAATTTGATTTTAAAGTCATAGAGTTCAACTCTACCACTACAAAGGAATTGTTTAAGGAACATCTTTCCCAGTATATAAAAAATAAGCAAAATAAGAGGTGTTTCAAGTCTTTTTAGACATTTTGAACTACAGGGCTTGAAGTGCTCAAGCTTATTGGAAGCAAAGTTTAAAATAAAAAAGCAACCCTCAGTTGCTGCAGCAGTTTATAATATAAAATTGTTCTATCTGAAGTAATGTGGACCAACTAGCTATACCTTGATTGCATGAGAAATTAATCAAAATCATCTGGTTAAGACTCTTAATTCCCAACAGTAAATAGCTAAGAAAAATATGGCAAGTCTTCTGGGGTGAAATAGGAAACAATGTGGGCATGGTTGGTGAGAGAGAGGTGATAGTTAAACATTTGCAGTTGTTGAAGCCGTATAAATACATAATTCTTTTTTAATTTGTGAAATTAACACAATTGCTGGACATATGAGAACTTACACATTTCATGTGTAAATCATATTTCATCTTGTATGAAGAATTATATTTGAGCTGTTTTATAACAGAAAATAGAACCATTCCTAAGGAAATAGATCACTTTTGCCTAAGTCTTGTCACATTTTTCTAAGAAAAATGTCTCATTTTAAATTTTTTTCTGTATTTAACAGAATTTATTTATGCAACCTTTCATGTAATAAAAGGTTTTAAGTCAAAAACATTTGCTTAGAAAATAAATCCATATTGCAAAAAAAAAAAAGTTTCTACCTTGTTAAGCCACGCTTCTAAAAATACTGCTTAGTGGCGTCATGTGGTGTATGTTTAAACTGTTGCTTTTTCGCCCAACCCACATCTCATTTTCAAAATGATTTGTGCATTTTGGCAGTGTGTGTTAAATCCATGAAAACATAATTTGAAAGAACGTTTTCTAAAAAGAATTCTGATGATTGTTATGCTTCTTTGATAGCTGTCTATGCATATTATTGAAAATAATCAGTACTGCGAAACGGTGTAATTGTACAAGTTTATTTAATTTATCTAGAGTAATACTTCCCTTACTATGTTATAGGTTTAATAGCATATATTTTATCAGCCCATACATAACTTTTGAGATATTCTGGTCAAGTTAAAAAGTTGTTAATGATATCATTAATAAATGGAAATGCATTAAAACAGTACCTGTGAAAACAAAACATTTATTAAAAAATAAAACACTTGATCTCAGACATTCTGATCAAGAAATACCAGCTTAACATTTGTCTTATTTCACCCTAGCTGTGCTCTCTCAGTAAAAATACTGTGCTCTTTTGAGAATACAGGGAGAGGGTGAAATTAGGACTTGAGCTCGAGTCTTTGCTACATATAAAATTTCTTTTATGTTTAGTTGGTTGGTTTTTCACTTTTTGGAATATTAACAGATATTTAACAAACCAAGCTATTTAAAATAGCTGTTGTTTTTATTGTTTATGCTCTGAGCAGGTCAAAGTTGTTGGTTTTTTTTTTATAAGAGAAAGAAGTCAAAATAGAATGTAGTATTCAAAAAGAGGTTATTCCTGGAGTTGCACAGTGCCATAAGAGTTTGGGCGATGGTCCATTCTCAGTTGCTGTAGAGCTGAATGACACTCAGGGATCCAGGCTTGCTTTCCTCAGCAGTAACAGCTAATGGTAGTCGAAGTGCAGCAAAGGAGTAACTCAGTTATCTAGTCTGTAATTAATACTGGAGCTCTAGGCTGTGATTTGAATAGCAGTTTTGGCTGAAAGACTTGAAGAAGAGGAAGTCTTGTGATGTTCTTCACTGTTTCATTCACTTGTTAATCCTCGTTACTTCAAAGAACAACTGAAACAGCCTGGCCGTGGCTTCCTGCAGGGGGATGGCTCACAGAGGAAGCTTCCAGACCCAGCTGGGACTGAGCTGCTGTGAACCAAAGAGACGTTTGGGAAGGAACCTGGTCTGATCTTGCATGCTTAAAATTTACCTTTCAAAAGTGGTTGTAATATCCAGGTCCGTAGATACAGCAAGAGAGGCTTCATCCCTCTTGCTAGGACTTCCTGGCCGAGATCCTGGATTTCCTCACGGTGGTGGCGTTAGGTGTTAGAGAGATGAGCTGCTGACGCACCCAGAAAATTTGCCATTCGTGCAGGAATAAATCTTGACAGAAGTGCTTGTGGTATTTGTAAGAGAAGTGTTTGTGGTATTTGTAAGAACTGTAATTCTGTGCTGTAACTATATTTTATTTGGAGCAAGGTCTGAGAAGCTTGATTATTCATACACTCAAGTCTAAAACATGTTTTCTTGAGGGAGAAAAAAAGACTACCACTGTTTAGATCACTGTGTTACATAACTCATCAAAATAAAATCTCACAGTATTAAAGCAGTTAGATAAGTTTTGGGACAAAACTGTTCACTCTTTGCTTAAAATACTTTAAAATTGCCATTAACATATCCTGCTTTTTAAAGCCGTTTGACTTGCAATAAGCAATATTGCAGCCTTCAGATTGCAGACAGTTCATCTCAGTTCTACTGACTATAAAAGTGTTTTTGTGTTATGTTAAATGAGTTCTACAGTCAGATCACGTACATATTGAAAATCAAATACAATTTTTAATATTACTACTAGTACTAACTAGATGTCGATGGTATATTATATTAACCTAGGAGCATGGTGTTCTCTAGTTTACTTAAGGTTCCAGTAACATAGCTCTTAAATTTTGAATGCAGGGTGTACTCTAAAATAGCGTAGTACTTGTCAGACCCCCAAAAAATACATGAGCTAGGGTGGGCACTTCAAGCTCCAGTAACAGTTTTAAGTGCCTCCCTGTCATTACAATGGTATTGTGAATTTAAAAGAAGACAATAGCTTATCTTCATTCACCATTCTTAAACTGCTTTGAATTATTTTACTTCTGAGGAAAGCATAAGGCTAATTTTCTCAGAGAATGTAAAAAAGCAGGAGACTATTATTATGTGAGCAGAGAATTGACTCCACTTACTCTAATCATATACAGAGAGCAGGAAGACTTGTCCTTCAATTTACTTTCAGTTAGATTTAGTATACTTTTTAAAGCTGTTTTGAATTTGTAAAAATAATTTTTTAAGAAATGGCAAAGTCAAAATGCAGAATCAAGGGGTATTTTAATTAAGACTAAATAAAGCACGAATTGGTAGGTTAAAAGTGTCATGAGCAAAATATTACTTTATATAGTGGAAAAATGAGGTCAGTTCAGAGATGTTCTGCTTTTTTATGTTTTCCTCAAGTCTGTAATTTGGCTGAGACTAGTTAGGGATTTTCTTTTCTACTCATGAATATCATCAAACTTTTTCTTCTAACTTGAAAAAAAACAACAAAGGGAGAGGGTGCAACTTAAAACCTTAGTGTTGTTGGGGAAAATGTTTCGTTAGCCTGTAAAACAGACAATTCCATTAAGAAAATTAACTGTCGCATTTTGACTGTTCAAGCTATGTCCATTTTGACTTACCTTTTTCCATTATTTTGTGAAATAAAATGGGCACCAAAATCTTCTTTGTGGGAGAAAATAAGGTGCAACATTTCTAAAGAAGATGGTGAGGGGAAAGAGCAAGGATGTGGAAGAGGATGCCAAGCTCCAAGAAATGAGAGTATTTGTCTTCGGTGTGGGGTGCCTGTGACAGGTAAGGAGGTGAGGTGAAGGCTGTTCTCACAGGGGGCTGCTGGCACAGGGGTGTGGTGCAATGCTGATTGGTTTTACCTTGGTCACTGGTGTTGGTCCTTTAATTACTTAACCAAAATGTGCGTTCTCCCTTTAAAACTGGGGGGCCCTTGCCTTTTTTTCCAGTTCTTTACCTATTGCTTTTGGAGGTACTTTATGCCTCAGTCACAGCTGTGAAAT